AAATACAATGAGTCAGGAATAACAATTTTTCTCTTAACATTCAATCTATAATATGCAACATTAGTTTCTATATCCTGCAAATCTTAAGAGTTTGTGATTATAGTATATTAACCATCTTTCAATGCACCAGAAGAAATCACATATCTATTCAATTTTATAAAACCAGTTTTAAAAAATAACAACACAGTTTTTATAAACCAAAAGTGAAATAAGAATGGGATTGCGTCTAACATCTGTGCATAAAGATAGTTCTCTAATACTAATATCCTCATACTCTCTAATTTTAGATGTAATACTCCCACTGACTTAGCTACAACCTTAACATTAGGTCAAGTACAAATATATTCCATATCATCGAGGCTTCTGGATTCCTGAAATCCTTGCAATGAATTGCAAACATGTTTAGTAGCTTCAGAATCTATTCATCAGGAATTAATAGATACAACCACATAACATGGCTCAATGATTAAATATATATTTACATATACCACGTCATTGCTTAGACAGTTCGTCCTTTAGTGTCTTCGTTAGCAGCAAAAGAAATAATTTAATTTGCCCTCAACATACACTGCCTTATTCCCTTTAACCTTTTGGATACCCATGTTTTGTGCTAGCCTAGTCCTATTATCATCCTTCTTCTTTGCTTTGCCCGTCCACTTGGGCCTAGAAGAAGATGGTATAGACTAGGTTAGATTGATAGGAACGCCCATACTCTTGATTATCCCTTCATCTGTTACCAATTCTATAAGAATATCAGCGAGTGTGAACTCAAACTGATTCCTTATTTAGCTCACTCTAACAGAATCGAACGAGTTTGGTAATAAGGCAATAATCATGTCAACTTGAAACTTACCGCTCAAGTCAGCCCTATTGATCTCTAGCTAATTTTTAAATAATAAACAATCATTTTCCAAAATTCGATTTCATACTGGAGTTCCTTAGGCTATCTTAATGGTGTTCAAGTCTGACATAGTACGTAAGCATACGCCCTATCTAATCTCACCAAAACATCATATTGACATTTAACATGATGCTTGAAGAAAATAAAATAATGTAAATGTTAGCTTTGGAGCGTATTCGAGGTAAACTCTAGAATATTGCACCAAGTCATCTCATTTGCCTTATTTCACTTATTCAAAGCATTAATGCTCTCTTGGGTATCTTAAAGTAAAAGGATTAGGTTTAGGAGTAGTAAATACGTTTGTACCCTTACGTTGTGAATAAAATATCTAAGTTCCTTTCCCAGTCAATATTAATGACGTCCAGTTACATTGAATATGTAAGCAAGCAGATAAACTGGATTAGACATAATTAAATTGAATATAAATGCATTCATACAATATGCTAGGTGAATTATTAATAATGTCATGCATATTTAAAATTAAAATGAGCTTGTTAACCACATAATACAATAAATCTCAATCGAACAAAAGATCATTATCATTATTGGTGAACAATCCCTTTTAATTAATGCGGATCCCTCAACTCTATAGCATAATAAATCAACCAATCAATATGTCAATAACTTATCCTGTTGGAGGAGTTCATTATTACTATTGTTGAGATTCATTTACTATTAGGCGAGCACTTCCATTAAAATAGTATGTGGGTCCCTTAACCACTGCATGAAAAATCGAATAACCAATACGCCAATAACTTATTCGGTTGGCGAAGTTCATTATTGCTATTGGCGGGCAAATCCCATCATTTCCATATCTCTTAAGACAATTCCTTGTCTATCTATATGAAATGATTCCCGATTATGTTTAGCCTTTCTAAAATCACCTAGTATAGACCACTCCGTTGGGGAGCTAACACTATTGATTTTAGATTGAGTGTATAACGTTATTAATGCTCTAATGAAAAATAAAACATTAAATATCTTGTCATTATAATCTAGACTCTTTAAATCATGCGTAGGGCCTTATTTTTAAAGATCTAATTACAATGAACATTTAATATTATTATTTTCATGAGTTAACCATTCTTGTAATATTAAAACTCTTCAAATCATGCGTGGGGCGATATTTTTAAAGATCTAATTACAATGGTGTTAATAACAAAGGCCATGGGGCAATGTAAAAAATCCCCGCTCCCACTCAATTTTTAATCATTCATAATTAGGGTTTTCATTTTATTCATTTACATGATATAATGCATGCAAAACGTCTTGATTTTAATCCCATTAAATTTAGAAAATATTTGGACTTTAAATGATTCACTAATATTTAATTTGAGGCACACTTTAAAAATAATTTACAAAAATGATTTTTCGTTTCCCAATAAATGCCCTCAAATTAATTAATATTTAAATCCAATTAATTTTCATAATTTAATTAATATAAATCAAGTCATTTAATTAAATATCATGGATCCAATGCATGAATAATAATTAATTAACAATTATATAGTCCATACATTTCATACATCGTATAAATAAATAAATAACAGCTAAAGCAAATAAAATGGCCAATGGAATCAGCTTTTAACATTTAACTACTCTAAGTATCGCGGGAAGATCATCCATCGGCTTGCAAACACCCACATAAGGCTGATACGCACCAGGAGAAGCAAAACACCGCTTGGAACGCGCCTGGAGGGCCCCATACGCGCTCACACGCGCCTGGGGCATGCTGCAGGTGAAGGCACGCTCCCCCACGCGCTGGTACGCACCTGGGGCGCGTCCCACGCGCCCCCACGCGCTGGCACGCGCGTGGGCGCGTAGGACGCGCCTCCACGCGCCTACACGCGCGTGGAGGTCATCCAACCTTGGCTTGCACGCGCCAGCATATGTCACCTCCTGACGCGTGTTCCTCACGCGCCAGGCTGACCCTCTATGCACCACATCTGATTCCAGCCTCCTCCGACGCCTCTTCTCGCCGCCGGCGATGCTCTGGCCACTGGAAAAACGCCGAAAAATTCCAGAAAAATCAGAAAAATTCCCAGAAAATTAAATTAAGCCTCAAAAAATTCCAGAAGAATTCCAAAAAATTCGAAAAAATTCCAGAAAATTACTGAAGCATAATTTAACCCTTTTGGACCTTCTTGAAGCTTCATAGCATCCTTTGATGAATATTACATGGCTTTAAAAATATTTACAACTTGAAATACAATGGGAAAAATAAATTACATCATTGAACTTTCAAACGGCTAAATCAAAGCCTTAATTACATTCATTCAAAGATAAAATTACATTCAATATTCCTATAAGCTTCATCCATGGCCCAACCATACATCATCATTCATTCACAGTTATTCATACATCATCACGTATCAATATATATCAACATATTAAATCATACATCAACATACATCAATAAAAATATATATGAATATAATTTTGGATCCATGAATGATGATTTTCATAAAATCATGATCTCTAGTAATGAATCAAACCTCGCTCTGATACCACTGTCGGGAAACGTGCAAGTTTTAAAAACTTTTCGAGGAATTTTGATTCATAGATCTTGATTCATCACATAGAGACAAGTTTTATGCAAAAATAAAAATATGATGTATCATTCAATTAATGGATTGAATAGTTACATCAAAGGTCTGAGTAAACCTTTAAAACTTTCCTCTAAAGTGAATGTTCTCACTTATTGTAGATCCCTTAACAAGATGCCTTCTCCTTGGATCTCCATCTTCTTGGTGATTATTTTGCCTTTAGGAATCACTCATAAGCCTCCATGAATTACCTTGGAAAACTAGGCTTGTGGGAGCCTCCATTAGATGAGAATATAAACCCTAATTTTCTAGAGAGAGAAAATATATGTTCCTTTTTCCTTCTGCTAAAAATCACACCTAAAATATACATAGACCATATATATTTATAGGTAACATAAAGGTAAAGAAAAGGAAACAACTAATCATTCTCATTCTCTAATTCACATGTCTCAAATCTAATATGATTCCAATATCAAGTTGGGCTATGAGTGAGAATCCATTGGGCCTATTATTTTATTGGCTACAATGAATTAATAATTGGCCCGGTCCATGGACCCAATTCAATTAATTCATAAATTAATTTCTACTCCACTAAAAGATATTAATTGAACTCCAATTAAATAATAAATAACCACTAAGTCAATATTGCACTTTGACCCCTCTATGCATAATTAGTTATCGGATAAATAATGCCATCAATCCGACTACTTAATTAATATATTTATTTTGGTACCTTTGATTATTTCTGGCTTGATCACAATAAAACATTTGTTTGACAAAAAAATAATAATTTAATAAATAAATATATAATAAATCATTTTGTCTAAAAACATACGAAGGCCTTCGAATTTACTTTGTGATCAACCATAATCAATACAAAATAAATACAAGTAGCAATGATGCAAATATTGAAAATATAACCCTCTAACTATTAATTACATAACTACCCAAAGTGTCGATCTAAGGATTCCGAAGAATCCGCCGAACAAATCAAAGTAATTATTAATTAATAAAAGAGTCTATAATTTTCTCATGCTTAAGGTCAAATGTTATGACGGTGCTAGGGAGCAATTGCATACGACGGCTCTTGCAATATATCTCAACCTAACGCGGATCCAGTTCAAGTCTTAATTAATTATGAGTCCATCCATAATTACCGACTATGAAGAATTTATAATTACTACGTATATATCATGCATTGATTGCCATCACATACATATATATAAATATTTCTTGTAATCACAGGGACACTATCAATTTCATAGTGAATCGAAACATAATACATTGAATTCACCAATTATATAAATCATAAATATTTCAGATATGTCAGGAACATATGTCACTTTAATCTAAATAGGAATTTGCTTTGCCAGGGCATATAAATCCCAACACATGTTACATTAACTTGATTAACAAGAATAAATTTTAAAATTCACTCTTATTAATATAATAAAAAATTATTAAAAACTCACTATAATAAAAAAGTTGGATTCTTCAACCACCTCAAAATTTTTGGGACACATGAGTAACTTATTTACTTTGTATATTCTAACTAGCAATACAACTCTTAAGCTCTACTTCAGTTTTATCTCCAATTAAGCTTTCATAAAAACAAAAACTTACACAAATTTATGAAACGCAGCGTTTTGTTTTTCAGGCCTTCAGGGCTGACAGGTAACCAATTTTCAAAAGAAAATGTAACGATCAAAAGACCCGCCAAAGGATGACTTCGAACTTCAATGGCACATCTTATTTCTCCCCTTTGCCTTACAAGACTCTTCTTTTTCTCATCCAAATCCAAGTCTCTCTACAACACTATAATACCCATATGCTCATTACATATCTGTGCGATTTCTACAGTTACATCACGCCAAACACCCCACAATAGAAAAACATTTTCCCACATATTCCAGGAATGCTCAAATCAAAGATTGCTGAATCCGGGAAAACAAGCCCACGCTCGCATGATCGTATCCGGGTTCGATCCTACCACCTTCGTTAAAAATTGTTTGATTCAGATGTACATTAAGTGTTCCGACTTAGACTGTGCATACAAGGTATTTGACAGAATGCCCCAACGAGACACCGTTTCTTGGAATACGATGTTTTTTGGTTATGCGGGTTGTGGAAATATTGCGGTAGCACAGTCATTCTTTGACTTGATGCCCGAAAGAGATGTGGTGTCGTGGAATTCTATGATTTCGGGGTACTTGCAAAATGGTAATTATCAAAAATCAATTGACATTTTCTCGCAGATGGGGAAGATGGGTATGGTTGTGGACCGTACCACTTTTGCTGTTGTTTTGAAAGCATGTTCATCTTTGGGAGACTATGATGTGGGGATTCAGGTTCATGGGCGTGCTGTCCGAATGGGTTTTGATCATGATGTGGTAACGGGAAGTGCAATTCTAGACATGTATGCGAAATGTAAGAAATTAGACGAGTCTCTGCATTTTTTTCATGCAATGCCTGGGAAGAATTGGGTTTCTTGGAGTGCTATAATTGCGGGTTGTGTTCAAAATGGTGAGCTGCTAGGTGGTGTAGAACTATTCAAAGAGATGCAAAAAGAAGGTGCTGGGGTAAGTCAATCTACTTATGCTAGTGTTTTCAGGGCATGTGCAGGTTTATCTGCACTGAGATTGGGTTCTCAATTGCATGGTCATGCATTAAAGGCTGATTTTGGATCTGATATCATATTAGGAACTGCCACTTTGGATATGTATGCAAAATGTGGCAATCTGTCTGAGGCTAGAAAGCTATTTAACTCGTTGCCACATCGCAATTTACAATCTTATAATGCCATGATTGTTGGGTATGCTCGAGGTGATCAGGGCTTTAAAGCTTTGCAGCTGTTTTGGCTTTTGTTGAAGTCTGGTCTTGGTTTTGATGAAATAAGCCTATCTGGTGCATTTAGCGCTTGTGCAGTAATCAAAGGGCATTTAGAAGGGATCCAGGTACATGGTTTAACAATTAAGACTACTTTCTTGCCCAATGTTTGTGTTGCAAATGCCATTTTGGACATGTATGGAAAATGTGGAGCTCTGGCTGAAGCTCGTTGTGTGTTTGGTGAAATGGAGAGACGAGACGCCGTCTCTTGGAATGCAATTATAGCAGCTCACGAGCAAAATGGAAATGAAGAGGAAACACTATCACTATTTGTTTGGATGCTCCGTTCAAGGATGGAACCTGATGAATTCACTTATGGTAGTGTTCTGAAAGCTTGTGCTGCCAGGCAAGCTCTGAACAGTGGCTTGGAGATCCATAACAGAATTATCAAATCTGGTATGGGGTTGGACTTGTTTGTGGGAAGTGCTCTTGTGGATATGTACTGCAAGTGTGCGAAGGTGGAAGAGGCAGAGAAGCTTCATGACAGACTGGGGGAACAAATAACAGTTTCGGGGAATGCAATAATCTCTGGGTTCTCATTGCGTGAACAGAGTGAGGAAGCTCAGAAATTCTTTTCTCGAATGTTAGAACAGGGACTTGAACCTGATAACTTCACGTATGCAACAGTTCTTGATACTTGTGCTAATCTGGCAACTATTGGACTTGGGAGGCAGATCCATGCCCAAATTATCAAGCAAGAATTGCAATCGGATGTGTTCATATCCAGCACTCTCGTCGACATGTATTCAAAGTGTGGAAACATGCAGGACTCTAGGCTAACGTTTGAAAAAGCACCAAAGCGGGATTTCGTGACATGGAATGCCTTGATCAGTGGCTATGCTCAGCATGGTCTTGGAGAAGAAACCCTTAAGGTTTTTGAGGACATGCAACTGGAGGATGTGAAACCAAACCATGCGACTTTTCTTGCAGTCCTCAGAGCTTGCGCACATGTGGGGCTTGTTGAGAAAGGGCAGCATTACTTCCATTCAATGCAAAGTGATTATGGATTAGACCCTCAGTTGGAGCACTACTCATGCATGGTGGATATATTAGGGAGGTCAGGCCATGTTAGGGATGCGTTGAAGCTTATTCACGAGATGCCTTTTGAGGCAGATGACGTTATTTGGAGAACTTTGCTTAGTATTTGCAGAATGCATGGGAATGTGGAGGTAGCAGAAAAAGCAGCAAGTTCTCTTCTGCAATTGGACCCTCAAGACTCTTCTGCTTGTGTTCTTCTATCGAATATTTATGCTGATGCAGGAATGTGGGATGAAGTTTCGAAGATGAGGAAGATGATGCGGTATAGTTCGCTGAAAAAGGAGCCAGGTTGCAGCTGGATTGAGGTGCAGAGTGAGGTACATATGTTTTTTGTTGGGGACAAAGCTCATCCAAGATGCAACGAGATATATGAGAAGCTGGATGTGCTAACAGGTGAAATGAAGTGGGTTGGTTATGTAACAGATATTGATTTTATACTCGATGACAAGGAGACAGAACATGAGCACATAGAAGAGCTTAGAATATGAAGTTTTAAGCCCTTTTAATTTAGAATTCAAAATTTTTGACCACCAAAGGAACTTGGGAATATGAGAAGGCTGAAAAGAGCAATCACTTTGTGCAAAATAATTCAAGATTATGTATGTCTCTGGTCTTCCCCTCCCACACTGAACCAAGATTTAGTTCGGAAACTAATATGAGAAGACTGGGATTGCCCATGCTTTTGCTAATTCAGCAAGAACAGGGAAGAAGTGCTGGAAAAGGACAAGAGTGGGTCACAATGACTTTCAGAAAGTTCATAGATTAACTGACACTATGAAAAAGATTCAAGGTTATATAAGTGTGCATGATAAAAACGATATCATGTTTAGTTCAACAAAATAGTTTTGTAGTTTGGATCTGAGAAGTTTATGGATTAAAATGTTCTGGGATGAGAAGTATCAGGAAACTGAGGCAATAAAGCAGAAATGCTGAACAAATTTGTAAGGCAATAGGCTAGTTTTCTCTCACATTTTTGGGATTTTGGTATCCAATTTAAGAAGCAATTTATAAATAATAGATAATAAATGGGATTTTGGGCTTCCAAGTGAACATTCTCTAAGCAATTTATTAAATAGTAGTTTTTGATAGTGCAACATTCTACTAAAGGCAGCTTCTATGTTGAAATAATAATATAGTTATGCACTTCTTGTGGTAACCTTTTTATAATAATGAGAACTTCTAAAATTCTCTATCATTATTGGTTAAGGCGGTTGTTCTGTAGGTGGACGTATCCGTACTCATTTCCATGTCAATGAATACAAATTGCTACAAATTCGAAATTTTATTATTAATTTCCTCTAACATCTCAACAGTCTAACAAAAACAATTTTTTCATTCTTAAAACTATCATGGAAAAGACTAAATACTATTACCAAAATTCACATCTTACAATCTTTTCAAAACAAATTTTCCATTCTTAAAAAAAAGACTAAATACTACCAAAATTCACTTAAAACCCTTTCATCTAAAGCATATGCCTGCTTATCCATTTGTTTTCATATTTCATGTAGTTAGCACGTTATGTTTGGCATGAAATGTTTACAGCATGTACATGTAAATTTTTAAACAGAACATTGAAAATAGAGTACCTATGATAAGAATTCACAAACATAGTATATGATATGTACAAATACACACACCAAAAAAGCTTTAGTACTGTTTTATTGAAAATTTAATAAAAAAGAAATTATATTTTGTTTCAGAAGGTTAAGCAAACTCCCTTTAGACCTCCCCTTTAGAGGGATAGATTTGAAGCAACTGGGCAATTGCCCATTTGTATATAATAAATATATATATATATATATATATATATATACATTCATTTCGATTTTAGTATAAAATGAAAATTAGAGAAATAGTTTTTTTTTAGTTCTATCAAAAGTTTAACTCTTCACAACTGTGAAGTAGATACTTGTACGAAAGAGTCGCATCGGTGTCGTGTTCACGTCAAACTCGGACACTCCTCGGACATATGTACGAACACTTTACCAACACTTCTTGGACACTTAGCCGACACTTTCAAATATTTCTAACACAAGCTTACCCGGTAATTTTGAAAATAATATGAATAGATAAAATTAACATTATACACATATCATGAGCGAAGCATTAAATAATATATGTTCTTTTAAAATAAAAATACTATTATGATAAAATAGTGAAATAATTGTATATATAATATTAAAATCATTACAAATTTTACTATAAAAATTAGAAATGAATTAAAATTTTATAATACTAATCCTCAATACATGTATATAAACAAAAATTTATATTTATATATAATCGTATCCAAGCCGTACCTGTATCCTAATTTTTTAAAATTTGACTTGTCCACATATCTACGTGGCATCACACTATATACAAGTTAAGTTCTTAATTATGGCATTCTGGGACTTTTGGATGGAGGGGATAGAGCCAATTATACACTCTTTTCATAGTCAATGTGGAAGCTCATTCTTCTCAACCTCCACAGGGAACGCAAGACGAAGACATGCTTTATAAAAGCTTTTTTAAAAAAATAAAATAATACATTGACATTTGTAGATAGATATTATAATTTGGAGATATTTGTTTAAGCTCCAAAGAGTAGAATGCCACTATAATGGTGCACCACCAACATGTGAGACCACCAAAGTCCACACAATAGTAAACTTTCAATTCACTTGTGAAGTGGTTAATAGCCAAAAAAAAAAAAAATTTGATTAAACCTTTTGCTATGTTTGGAGCATGAATTAGTTGTCTTGAAAAATGAACTTACTGCATTTGAACAAATGCATTGTGATTGCACGATTTTTGCGCAATATAGTCACCAAAATAGACTTACTCATTATCGGATCGAAGATCAACAAGATTGAGAGGACTCGAGAAATTCAACTAGATTGTTAAATGATTCATAAAACTAGCATCAAATTATAAAAGAAGTTGCCCAAAGACTTTGTTGGAACAAATTTTTTTTTTTTTTTTTTTTCCTAGTTAGTACTCACACACATACATCTCTTATGAGACTTGAACCCCTGACCTCCCTTTAGGAAGTAAAAGACTGATACCACTAGGCCACTGCCCCGTTGATTTGTTGGAACATTCAACCCAATGGTGATTGACTCGTGCTTTTGCTTTGAATCCTGTGGTCTGATTTTAGTTACATTGGATGCTGGAGTCGTGCTTGGTCATGTACAGGGGACGGGTAAATCGATCACGGGTAAACCTGTTCGAGGAGCTGGACGCTCTACCAAGTTACCAACTAGGCCATTGAGTAATTCCTAATTCCAATTGCTTTGATCTCTGTCCAAATGTTGCAATGTTCTTCTGTTCATATCTAAAAGCATTATGAGGAGATAAAAACCCCAGAATGCAGGTTATAAGCTGCATAAAGCTGGTGTTGATTTCACACACGCACCAAAAAAGAGAGCCCCAAGAACAGAAAAATATTCAGTACCTCCAGATAGTACACCCAACCAAACCAATGAAAACTCACCATTTCTCTTGACAATAGGAAATAACAATTCATCCGCTATTTTGTTCTGAACAATGAAAAGATACCCATGGAAACCAAAACAAACCATATCATTTGAAATGTGCATGACATGACAAGGGAAAAAAAATAAATAAATAAAAGGATTACTGCAAAACCAGTCACTCAGTATGCTAGTGAAATCGGTGAATTGGGCTTCAGACAAAACTAATCAATTTTTATGCAAAAACAAATTATAACCCATGAATGAAAAGATATAGGGAAGAAACGATACTATAGAATAGTTAGACATCGAAGCCTGCAACTAAGTTGTCATTACTTCAAAATTTTGATGAGGGTCATCTCTTACATAACCTGCTTAATACATTCTATTTAACAAAATCTTGATTCGAGGCTCTACATAAGATCTGTTAGCAAAAAGGTAGAAGAAGCTCGACAGGAAGGAACTTTCTTCGACGACTTCTTGAGGGAGACAAATACCTGAAACTATCCTTAGTGCAGATCGATCTGATGAAATTTTGTAAATTGTACATAGACAATCATATCTTCGACCAAATTATCGATCATGATGCTAGTTTTCGCTCTCCCAACACCCATCCTTATAAAGCTTTCCTACAGAAGGTGAGAGAAGCTTATGGGAAGCCAAGAAACTCAAAAACTCACCAACCAATCTGAAAGGAGTGAACAATTCTCTTGCATTTAGGGTTCTCTATGAGTGAAGAGCATGAACTCCCCAGGTCAGACAATTAGGTCCACCAAAACCATCAAAATTAGCTGTTTGGATGTTGAAACAACAAGGCTGCAATGATTGGAATCGCTAAAGTGAGAACTCCCATACAAACACACTTAAAGTTAAGCTGCCTTGCACCTATATTCCTCTGAGTCTCAAATTTGGATGTAGAACCAGCAGGCCCCAATTCAGCCTCACCAGCAGAAACTTGTTTTGGCTCCTTGTCTAGCTGAAAACAGAGTAAAAGGGATAGATATGATTCAAAACAGTGATACATAATCTCCCTATGCATCACAGTGATGTTTGCAGTAACACACATGGAGCAGGGGCAAAGAAATGGTAAGATTAAAAAACAACAACAATTTAGTGTTTGAGCATTCAAGTGGATATTTTTGTCTTTGTGATACTGGAATAATACTTTGAAAGAAATTGCAGTTCTATCACGACTTAACTACCAAAGCTTGAGACATTTCCATATGATTCCTCAAGGATTATTGAAATATGTGTCGGAGTTTAAGCCAAGTCATCATGTATGCATAAACCTCGTAAAAGAATATTGAAACTGCAGCTGACCAAAGCTTTACAATTTCATTTCTTTACTTAAAATTTAAATATGAGCAAAAAGTGACTGATCACTGGTGTTCAGGTCTATAAAGAAGGATAAAGGAATAGCACAAAAACTTCACAAAGAAGTCAACAAAGAAATGAGGTACTTACAAAGGGCTGTAGCCTAGTGGTACTTCCTCACCTTCCAAAGTAGAAGGTCAAGGGCTCAAGTCCCCTTTAGGGGCAAAAGTGGGTGTGTCACTGAGTTTCTTGCCAAGGTTTAAAAAAAATGAGGTAGCACAAGTGAAACAAGGTTTTTGGAAAAAAAAAAACAAGAAGGCTTTCTTAAAGGAATGCTAAATCAAAATCTTACAGTGAAAATTATGTCACTGGAAAAGTAAAACCTCTCTCTCACACACAAAAGGAAAAGAAAAAAATAAATAAATAAATAATATATATATATATAGAACAGCATCTTGTTAGGAATGAAAATGACAAAAACTTGAAATAAAAAATTCTCCACTTTGTAAGAGAGAAAGGAATGGAAAGAGGGAAGGAGAAAGGAGGGCATGGAGGAACAGTTGGTTAACCAATTATTTGGTAAGTATGTTAGTTGTTATGTTACTACATCTTTTATTCAAGCTTCAATTTATAAATTTCAAGTTATTTTGCCAATATGGCAAATTCGCAGGAACCCATATAATTTATTTGAAGAAGGAAGTGAAGATACCATGACTCCCTCCAGGCTCCAATGCAGAGGGCAAAAATAAATTGTGTTAATTCTAGATTCCCATGCCCAGAAGTTTTATCTTAATGGGGGCAAAACAAAAGCCAAACTAAATATTCTCCGTTACTTTAAGGGACTCAACAACAATTTTTCATAAAATTGTGTTCAGTTATTTAGAATAATGCCAAAAAATAAAATAAGAGCAGGCATACACCGCATTTATCATACATATTGTACCATGTACCATATGTACCACATAACATAAATTCAAATGGTATACCAATTAAGTTATTTATCAATTCACCTCTAAAATGTGTTCACATAAAGTAAGATATGAAAACAATTCTAATTCAAAATTTGTGCAAATTAGCTAGGTCAGAAAAGGTAACTGGGAGGATTTGCATCTGTGGTTTCAGATCCCTTACAACGGAAGGCACTTCTTCATCCACATTAGAAGTAAAGTAACATAAGATTCTGCATATTAAATCATTGAATATGCAAATCAACAAATTATTAAGCAAACAAGATATTTGGTCCAGAACCTACCTCAAAACTGGTAGCAGAGAACTTAGTTGATTCTTTACTTTCTTTACAAGTCGTGGTAGTGATATCATGCTTGGAAAGCAAAATTCCCTTGCCAATTCCTTTGCCGTCATGGCTCAAAGTTACAGAAGAATTCTTATTCTTATGCAGTAAATTCTCCAGCAAAATTTTATTCTGCTTCGTCAGCAAAGATATCTGTGTATGAAATACAAATAGTTAATTACGGAACATTGGAGAGAGAAGTATGTATTGAAGTGATCACTGGAAAGCATGATCAATATACATCTCAAATTATTTGAACGGATAAATAGGACCATTCCACTTCAAGAAATCTATTAAGATCCAAAGTTTTATATCCCAGAGAAATAAGCTAGGTCAGTGGTCTTTTTTATATAGATTTAAATTCCAAACTCTATTTCCTAGAATTATCTAGTCTTTGTGTCAGTATTTGATATGTCAGTATCTGAAAAAGCTCAACATATTTGTGTTAATATTCTTCAGACACCGCTAGGGATGGACAAGCAGAAAAACAACTTTTTTGTCAAACTTCAGTGACCACATCCCAAATCCTTTTTCTTTTTTTCCTTTTTCTTTTCTATTTTCCTGGGGGCGCGGTTGAGGGGGGACAGGGCTGAGATGAAAACATGAATGTGAAGCTTTAGCCAACATTGCACCTAAAAAAAATTAGAAAATGTGTACTTTAAGACCTGTTTGTGAAGGCGTTCTCTTTCAAGAGCCAGTTTCATGACCAAATCTGTTATCACTTTAGTCCGGATGTTGATATCCTTTGCCATTGCCACTTTTTTATCCTCAGCTTGATGCATCGATGCCTCCAAGCATTTCATTCTAACTCTAAGAAAACTCAATTCTTCACTGAGGTCAGAGTTAGACTCAGACAAAATAATACACTTCTCTTCTGCATTCTCAGCCCGGTTTTCAGCTTTTAAAACCTTTGACTTCAGATCCGCAATTACATTTTCCATGTCAACAATTGTGGAATACAGCATGCTTTGCTTTTCCTGACTTGCTTCAGCAGATGCCACCGCATGCTGTATCTGAATATCAGATTCCCTCAACTGTTTCTCAAGTAAATCCACCTTCTCAGATTCTTTCAGTTGCTCCTCAAGTGAACTCACCTTCTCCCTCAAGGTAGAGACCGCTGAATTGGAGACGATTAATTTATTTCTGGCTTCACTGAGGCTGCTTTCTAGCTTCTGTAAAGCACTGTCTTCCGCTTTCTGCTTTTCCATGGAATCTTGAAGCTTAGAACTCAGTTCTCCTTCTCGCTGAAGTGAACTATTTAGATTTAACTGAACTATCTGGAGTTGACCTAATATTTCTTTGGAAATTCCCATAAGAACCTCAGCAGCATTGTCCGCCTCAAACAACCTTTCCAAAATGACTGATGTTTCTTCATCCATGCAAAACACTTCATGTTCTGAAGAGTTCAGCCTTAGTTTCAGTTCATCTTCAATTTGTCTTGAATCAGCTACCTTCTTCTCGAGATCCAACTCTCTTGCCAAAGATTTCTCTAGCATCCTCAGAACATGCCTCTGTTGTTCAGCAGTCTGCATTCTTATCTTTGCATTCAGGTTTTCACCATTTTCTACAAAGTCCACTCCATTGTCATCATTCCCTGTAAACATGCATTCATTAGAGTTAGTGACAACTAAGGTTTGTCATATGGATCACATGTCTTTATGCCTGCAGAAAATATCAAAATACTTGTACAATCTCATTTTATAATCCAAACCAAATTTTCTGTCAGAGGACTACTAGGAAGCTGCAAAACCAGGACAATTAAATATGAATGACATACAAAAATTTCATTCACCACCTGCAGAAATTCAGGTTTTAGCAAAATAGCAGGCATTAATGTTTCTCATGAATCAACTCTATGGTGGCTAACAGAGTCAACCAAGCAAGTTTTAGTAGGAACATGCATTGGAGCACTTATGGATTTACTAAGTGGTGGCTTCAGTGCCTTAAATTTACGGCAACCCCCCAACCAAAAGATAAATATATTTAAGCATAAGTAAGCTTACAATTTTCATGTCCACCATAACTGAACAAGATCCTTTGGAACTTAGCAGACTGCATCCTTATTTCTGATACCTGGTCTAGTGACTGCTTTAACGATTCTTCAGAATCATGTAACTTTTCTTCCATTTCCTCGAAAACATTTCCCAAGTGCTCAAGTGATGATATAGTTTCATGGCCATTTATGATCTCCATCTGGAGAGTAGATATAAAGTCAGTCAATTCGCTAACCTCTGAATCCAAAATTCCAGATAAGAGATCAAATTCCAGTGCCTTCTCAGCAGAATCACTTGAGATATGTTCTCTCTCTGAAACAAAGCCCTCAAAATCACTCTCCCTCGTAGCCACGTGCATCATAAGTATATTCAAGTTAACTAACTTCTCAGAAGAACATGCCACATCTAGTTCAACTCTTGTTACAACCTCTAGTTCTTGCATTATATCTCCACTGGACGAGATCCCTTCAAGTGGGTGAACAGTACTTGAATGTGCCTCCAACTCACCCGCATTGACACCTTCAGTGGCAACATAAACTGCATTAGTATCCATTCCAATGGTCCAGTTTTTGCAGCTCTGAGACCTGAAAAGATGGAATATCAGGTTAGTACTTCTGGGTAACTACTGAAGAGCTATCAGGTGTAATAGGGAGAGGGAGGGAGGGAGGGGAGAGAGAGAGAGAGAGAGAGGGGGCAAGGAGGTAAGGATAGATCATATTATAAGTGAAGAATTGAACATATCACAGGTAACAAGGTTAAAAGATGCCCTTGTAGAAAAAGCTAAAAACAGTATCTTTGTTTTTCCCAATTCCTTTATTGGGTTGTGAAAGGACATTCCAAAATTAGGAGCCGGATAATGTGGGGTTTAAGTGTGAGAAGTCTATTTGAGAGTGGAAATGAATGAATTACCATCTACATAAAATCAGGGAAAAATAGAGGGGGAAGAGGAGAGAGAGGGAAGAAGGGGGGGGGGGGGGGGGGGGGGGGGGGGGGGGGGGTGTTGTGTGTGTGTGTTGTTATGAACCAAAATTTCTATTAGTAAATGATGGTTTATGATATATGAGCGGAGTACCTGATGCTACGTTTGGTGAGACGGATGGAGAAGTGGATAGAAGGGAAAAGGGGAATGTGTTCTTTCCTCCTTTTGTTTGGTTGAACAGAAGGAAAATAAAATTATAAAGGGGTGACACCTTCCATTATTTGATAGGAAGGTAAAATGAGGAATCAACATGATTTTACCCATGCCCTTACAATATGACATAATACACATGAAAGGATTAATTAATAAAGATAATATAGTCCTTTCAATTTTATCTACAAATATTCTTCTTTCCACCACTCTTCTGCCCAATTTTGGACCGAAGTAAATCGGTTGGCCCCAGTGTTATTAAAGGCCCAAGGCACTAGAGGTCGTTTGGAGCCTAACCGCGAGACGCGCACCTGAGTGAAGTGAGGCGCACAATTGAAAATTTAAACTACCATAATAACATTCATGTCTCATAAGTCATATCAATATTCTAAAAATTAATATCAAATATAAAAAAGTAAATCTATCAACTATACAAGCATCCAACAACCATAAAACAAAGCACAAATTTGTTTTCTTGAAAGGCAAAGCAAAATGTGTTTTTTTGAATGGCAAAACAAAGCACAAAAAGAAATAAATATTTTAACCAAAAAAAAAAAATTGTTAACAAGAAAAAAAAAAAGACATGAGAGAGAAGAGAACTAGACAAAGAGAGGGACGTAAACAAAGATAAGAAGAAGTTCCTTCTATCATATGCATGGGCTTTCTTTTTTTTTATTAAGCTGCCAAAAGTACCCTTTTTGGCTTAAGAAATAGAACAATCGTATTTTTTTAGATAAATATCAGTGAAGCGCGCCTCACAAATAGGACGAGGCGCAACCGAGGCGCGCGCCTAGTAAACATCAGTGAGTCTGGGATGACAACAGACGCTAAACCTGAGCCTCGAGCCTAGGCACAAGCCTGGGCATGCCTTTAACAACACACTTGGCCCAGAGGGATGCCTCATCTATCTGCCCATCATTTCATCTCCCTTCACCTTACTGCAATCAAAGCACTTTCCTTCCTTCCCTCCCTTCCCACCCCTTCCTGCCCTCCTACCAAACATAGCATAAAGCAAGCCCATCTCATCATTGGAGCTAAGAGAGATATATGGCCATACATCTCCATGAATCTTTGTTCCTCTCGACGTATGCCAACGTAATAAGCTAATTTTATCTTATAATTTGTATCCACTTACAGCTATGAAAACTTTCAAATTTGAGAACAACATCAACAACAACAAGTGTATCATTACCATGGTTCATCTAATAATTTTCTTTGTCTAGGGTTTTATGCATGTGATTTGTCATTTGCATCTTCTATAACAGTAGATGTGATAAAACTATAGAAGCTATCCATTATATGATACTTTCCAATCTATCCATCTATGTGTGTATTATTATATTTGCAGATTGCATGTGTGTTCATAATTGAAAGAACCCAGATTTAATTTCACCATAAATTACCATCTGCACATTCCAAAAATTCAAAAGATCAACAATCTAAGATTCCCAATTCAAAACTTGTGATATATAGGGAAAAAATGTCTGAATCAATCAAATTACACCACAATTTTTCAATAAATTTATCGTCAAAAGAATTAAATTTAACACATATGCTGCATATATTTACACCGACGTACCTTAAGAAACTTGTCGGGCGAGAGGGAGAGGGAGAGGGAGAGGGAGAGAGAGAGAGAGAGAGAATGAAATGAAGTACGCCCTGACAATCTCGAACGAAGCAACTGACTTTAAGACAACGCGAGCCTGGGAGGGGGGTTCATGGACCTAAGTTATGGGTCAATCTACCTTCCACCATGGGCCGGAGGCCCAATATGTTCAGAGTATTCAAGGACTTGTTTGGTTGCATTATTTTTCAATAACTGAAAATAAAAAATATATATATTTGACTAATGCTTTTGTTTCATGATTTTTGCTTTTATTAGTGTACTGTAATGAAGTAAAAGTACGAAATGTATTTGGTAATATTTGTTGAATCGCTTCTAAAATTGAGGCTAAAATCAGAAGCACCAAAATGATGCTTTTATTTGCCTCCGCACTGTAATAAAGTACTTTTCAAAAAAAAAATCTAAACTAACATTTTTAACTAACCATTCAAACTTGCAACACTTTTTACTAAACATGTTTTCATATTTTTGCTTCCAAAAATCTTGTAACAAATTTACGTTACAAAACAAGTTTCGAAATAGTGTTGAACACACCCTAAAGTAGAACATTGCTTCTGATTCGGGTCAAAACAAAAGTGCAAAACAACTGTGATTGCCAAATGGGCTATTTTTCTATTTCGGTTGACAATTTTTTATAATTATTTTACAAAATTTCAATTTTAATTTTTTTTCGTGAGAACTATTTTTCCTCAATTAAGAAAAAGTTTGTTAACAAACCAATGCTTTATAGTTTTTTGAAAACAGTTTTTTTTTTTTTTTAATTCATGAGAACACTATTTTTTTAGTGATAAATTAAACAAATCCCAGTATTTGACGGAATTAGTTTCCCTCACCAAGGGCGTGGGAACACCAGCCAGTATGGCTCTCAAAATAATAATAATAATTTATAAACATCATTAAAATGGAGGGATGGTAATCACAATCACTTTTCTATGGACTATATAATTTAGTTAATATGATATTAAATTATTTAAAGACGATATTTGAGTAAATTAATTTTTAACCATAATAAGAACGCAATATTTGCAATACGAATACAATATTAACAATACACAAAAATCCATAAAACATTTGTACATGACCATAAAGATGCTATTAACATTTGTAGTAGTGTATGTGTAATAGATACACACACACATACATTTATGTTTTGATAAACCCTCACATGGTCCTCTTTATATGATTGAGACATCTGATGATACTCAAATCTTGATGGTTTTATTTTGCTTGGCGCCACATCCACTAAAAGCAAAATGTCCCTTGCAATGGACTGGGTTGCCAATCCCCTACCTACAAGCTTTTCAATGCCTGTTGGGCTGCGTGGCCCACCTTAACTTTTGTTCCAACCCCACTTTCTTGCCCATTCTAATATTAGTAATGTAAGGCATGTGCACAAGATTCACCTACTAGATACTCCTAATAACAACATATTTGTAATTTAGCTCTACTTGTAAGCATTAATGAAAACACTTCAAAAAATAATAATAATAATAATAATAGTGAAATGTTTATTTATTAACTCAGTCTTATATATAAGGTATACTATAAAAATAAATATTAAAATTTAAAATTTCCATTTTTTCCCTTTCTTCTTAGCTATCATCAAATAATGAAGTGTCGCCTTATTTCATTCTCTTTTATTCAACCAAAAAAATAAATAAATTGAGAGGAATATTATGCAAGTAGGTCTAATCATATAACAAATTATACTAATCATATTTATAATTATGACGCGTTTAGTTAAATGGGTATAAATAAGTTGAACTCTCCAACTTTAACATGATACGATTAAATAAATGAATTAATTGCGTCGACCTGTTTATAACTTAAACCTAAGGTGAACCAAAACTCTGTTATGTCGCATCATGTTCAAATCATGTCGAAATTTGCCATCCTTTAATATTTAGTCCCCATTGCCCATGCATGCATAGTTCGTGTGTGCTTAGCATGAACTCTAAATTGAAAATAACACTCCACTTTGTCTGACTCCCTCCTCTTTAGTGCATTTATTCATTATTACTCTTACCACACGGAATAAAATAATTCTTAATCAGCCCACTAATCAGATAATGGGTCTAATCAGAAATATAAATACGCAATTAGTCTATCACTTATAGAAAAATTAACCAATAAATCACATTTGTTAGATTTCTTGTCAACAATACATCAGCAACATTAAAATTGTCGCAACGGTAGCCTCATGTTTATTATATAATAATGTAACATGACTCTCTCAAAATTTAAAGATTGTACTTGTATAGTAAGGACGGCTAAAACAGATGTTGACATGCGATTTATTTTAATCGTTTTGTTTTTGGTTAAAATATAAATAGTATTTTTATTGTAAGTGCATTTTAAAAAAAAAATTGGAAAACATATTTAGGAACGATGTTTTGCTGAAAAAAAATCGGAATAATTGCGCTATTATTATAGTTTTTGACTATGAACAATTGTAAAAGTAAAAAAAAACATTTTTTTAGTATTTTGGTTTTGAAATACTTAGGTATTTTAGTATGGTGTAAAATAAAATAAGGCCGCACCAAATATGTTTTTATTGTCAAAATTGATATTGTAGCAGCCAAAAAATAAAAATAACAAAAATAAAATGCATGTCAAACGAGATATAAGGAAATAGCAACTTCATTTATTCTTTTATTAAACGGAATAAAATACTCTCTCTGTTCCAAACATGACATTTAATTTAAGAAATCGTGACTCACAACGATTCCCAAAACACGATATTTAATTTAGAACAGAAGTAGTAGTTGTTAATCAGCCCACTAATCGGATAATGGGCCTAATCAGACACAATTGCTTTGTCATTGTAGAAAAATTAACCAATGCATCAAATTTCTTAAATTCTTTGTCCATCAGCAAAGTTACAAAATAATATTAATGTACCTACCATGATTCCGTGATATTCTAGCTTTAATTATGTTGATAGTTACTGATACTGATGCACATTAATTAGTGCCTAACTATGGTGACGCGCGCGACAAATTAATGGAATGGGTTAGCAATGGAGGTCCACGTGATTATGATATATGATAAATTATGGAGTGGAGTACCATATTGTTCATATCCATGTGTCTTGCACAGGCCATGTCCAATGGTAAATACAACAAAAATGTTTCTGACCACGCAGGCCCTAGCTGTGAATTGTCTGCACTTGTTTTGGAGTGTGTGTGTGTTTTCTATTTCATGCCACCGTCGGTTACTGATATGTTTCGAAAGGACATGTCCGGTGAGCAATTTAGTTGTCGTGGACTCGTGTTTCCCTTTTTTGGTTGTGTACTATAACTAGTACTAATATTTTCTTCCAATTTTGTACAGTGTCAAAATATTTTGTAAATATTAATAAAAAATTGAAACACTAATTTAATAGGAGTATTTTTATGTGTTTGAGTATTGTATTGTATTTTTTTTTTTTAGAACATGTGTATCAGCCCCTAACACAAGCACCATTTAAGTCATAGATGCGATTCGAAAACGAGACTTCAAAAACTTATCTCCCCACAACACAAGTATCATTTAAGTCAGAAGTACGATTCGAAAGTAAGACTTCAAGAACTTACCTTCCGAATTCTTACTAACGCCGCTATACCCCTGGAAGTAGGGGTAAACAAATAATCCGTCAATTCGTCAATCCGGTCTGAACCAATCCGATCCTTATGGTTCTGTTTGGTTCGATTCGGTTTTCAGATCTCATGATCTAGTAATAATTTTAAAAAATAGTAATCGGTTAACGGATTGGACCCTCAAAAACCAATCCGATCCATTACCTTATATATATATATATGTACAATATACTTAGTGTATTTCTATATTTTTTTTAATTCATTATTCTTTAAGTTAACCCAGGTCCCCAAACTCATTACTCATTTCATTAAAGCCGCTGAGATTTTTAATTAATAATTTGATATTTTAATGGGTCATAAAATGTAATCATATTGGGTTGTTTGAAAAGCCTAATCAGTGAAAATTGAACCGTTCCGATCAGTTATTTCACGGATCAGTTTGGTTCGGATTGAAGATCCCTACGAATCGATTCAGTATCAAATTTCACCAATTTGTGGAGACCGAATTGGATTGAACTTTACCCCCAAATTGAACTGATCCGATCCGTTATCAGCCCTACCGGGAAGCAATCTTTTACATGACATTTTAATTATTATAATTTTAAAACTTGTAATAATTTTTTTTTATCAAATATATTTTCTTATTTTTACTTTCAAAAATATTTTAATAAGTAGACATTACCAAATTTACTTATTTTTTCATATTTAAAAATTGTGAATACGAAAAATTATACAGTATCTAAAACCAATTTGAATCTCACTTAAATGCGTCTAATACCATGATATCAGTCCGGTCTTTTGTTCGATTAATGTTTGTACTTTAAAAACATACGTCTATTAGAAGTGATGTATGGTTCGGTTCGACTCTAATCATCTGTCTATGTCGGCTTGATTCGAGTTAAGACAAGTTTCATTTTCCTTTTTATGTAGGAGTATATATTTAAGAAGTTTGTGGTTCTGGTCGCTACCACGTGTTTGACCCAAACAGGCCGACAAAGTAGGCAGATTCTGCTTTCCCACCATTGCTCCCAATTTACGAAGAAGCCAAGAAGCTACATCTCATATTGGAATAAAGAATCAAAGCCATCATTTCGTTAGATGAAATTATTTATAAAAAAATATATATTTTAATTATTTTAAAGTTTGGATAGATTAAAAAAAACAGGTAATGAAAAATTTTATTTACGAAACTTACCTATTTTCTTCCAAAAGAGGTGTCTTGACATTTCTATTTTACACGTTAATTTAATTGTGCAAAACTTTTTTCTCTATTTTTTTTATTGTACTTTAAAGAGACAAATTTTGAGCAAAAATAACTTTTTTTTAATTTTTCAATAGTCCAAATATAATTGGTAACAACAACATACAATCAAATCTCTATCAAAATTTAGTATTGCTATCATTTTCTTCATATTCGTTGTTATTTATTTTTTAAGTTTCGTTTCTCTTAAAATAATAAGTAGTTATACTTCTACCTAAAAAAATATTATGAAATCTTATTTTAAATATAAATAATTATATTATTAAATTTAATAATTCGTCATCTTATTATTTATTTGCTAAAAATAGACATCATCAAATATAAATTCATTTATTTTTTACTATTTGAAATCATAGGGGTAATTTTGGTATTTGAAATCAAAATAAAAATGCTACACCTTCACAAATATGCTAAAAAAATATAGAATCACACTCTAGTTTTTAGTATATATTTGCATTAATTTGTTTTAAAAGTAAAAAAAAAAAATTTGAATATCACGTCCCATTTTATTTTTAGAAAACACTAGAATCCGACTTTGCTTTTTATAGAATACCATATAAATAGTTTTTGTTGATTTAATACTTCTTTTTTTCTTTTCTTTTTTTGTTTCTAAAATTACTTAATTTCACTTACACTCATTAGGTTAGATGGAAATAAGTAAGAAAAAAAAAATAAATGAGAAGAAAAGTTATTTGCTTGGATGCATTTGACTAATATGAAAATTTATTTAAGAAAATTATAGAAAAATATTATTTTGTTATTTTTAATAGTGTGAAAGTAAATAAATAAATAAATAAATAGTGATTGAACAAATAATTTATTTTGATTTGTAAAGTGAAAAACGTGACATCTGATTTACAGTAAGTAGGGACAGCAACCTTAAACTATTAAATAAATAAATAATTAACAGAAACAATAAGTACAAAAACAAAAATTAAATACTGATTGATACATCCAATATCTTATGGACACATTTATAATGTCGTGATTAAGCTTTCAATTTGTTAATCTGACTTTTACTCCATTTGTGAAATTACGGTTGGATTGTAGGAATAGAAGATCAAATATTTAAGTGTTTAATTGGTGAAGTGAAGCATTCAATGTGCTTTGGAGTTGATTAACTTGTCCTCCAAAAATTTGGAATGGTTGTTTTAGTATTTTAATTTGATAAGTTACTCATATATATTTATAAATAAAATGATAAAATAACCTTTTTATTATCCCTAATAACGTCTTCTATTTTTTTTATTTAAAATAAAATCACAGTTGTAGAGAGTAACAGTGAATTTTTCTATTGCAATTTGTGGCAATGATTGTAAGCTGATTGAACCCATATAAACAAAAGTTCAATTGATTTTTTTTTCTTTTAAATATATAATTAACAGCTAAACTAAAAAAAACTTTGGAATTGCTCATCTTTTTGTGAAGATTCATTCACCACTTACAGTTAAATCAAGAGCTTAATATTTTATTATTGAAACAGATTGTGGACCCTATAAGTTAAGTTAACTTTACTTGAAGCTACAAATTTTTTTGAATTTGACTTCTAATTGATTTATTTTTTATAATATATGTATATATTATAAAAAAAAATAAATTATTTGTATATATGTTTATATAATATATCAAAATTATTTACTGGATATACTTTTTATTTTTTATATTTGGTTGAAGCTCCAAAGTTGATTTATTTTATTTCAGTAATATATATCTTTTTATATATTTGGAATTTGGATAAAATCGGGAAAAAAAAGACTATTAAATAGTTTAGGTTATTTTTGTCATGTTATTTATAAATATAAAAAAGTAGAGCATCTTATTATTATTTTGGAGGGCGATCCTTTTTGGAATTTTATTTTATTTTGACGTGGGAACTGTCGCAACCACCCGCCCTTTGGACTTGTAATTACTAGGTAAACCCCTCGGCTGTCGACGCCAGCTCCACATTGTAAACAGCAAGGGAAGTCGATTATCTAAATTTTAATTAAGAAAAGAAATACAGAGCATGAACAGTCATATTATCATAAGATACTTTCTTTTTACTTTTCCTTTCTAAACACAAGCAAAATAAGTAATCACAAAAGTAATACTTCAAAAGAAGACTTAGCAATTAAATTAGAAAGGTGTAAAAATGCATTAGGATTGGAAGGGTTAACATTGAATACATTAAATGCAAATTTAGTAAATAATCGAAGATTAATGATGTTATGGATACACTTCAAAATAAAAGGAGGTCATTAATGCACAGGATTGTGAGATTGATAGTAATATATACTAATAGGATACACCTTGGACAAAATAGAAACAAATGAATGTCGTATAATTAAAAAGAACAATTTATTGAACGTTATTAAGCCAACTAATTTTATATGGCCCAAAGAGTTTGGGGGTTAAAAAAAAGAAGTAAGAGCAATTAATTTTATATGGCAGTGAGTGAGGAATTAAGTGGAACAAGTTCGACACTAAACGTGATATCGAATCAAGAACTAAATCTGTTTGATACTAACAATAATAGATGTGACACTTATTCATTTATTTAAAATTTTAAATAATTAGGTAATGCCGCATTTACGTCGTGCTATAAAATAAAAAATAATTTGCATAAAAGTTAAGGGACAAATACACCGTTGCAATTAACATGAAATAAAATTATTGAAAACAATTCATTTGGGAGATTCAATGATTTATGGGATTAAGAACAAGATAAAGATATAAGGATCAATTTTTTTTTCTTTCCTTTTTGGCTTATGATTAATAATGAAATCCTTTCAATTTATTTATTTTCCTTAATACTCGTTATTTTTTATATTTCCCTCCAAATTCCAACGGAGCGATATATAAACCTCAATTTGTGGGGGCTGAATGCCGAAACGACAATCAGCTGACAACGACGTCTGTGGACATTCTTCAACTGTAATATAAAAAAATAAAACGTAACCCTGAAACCAGAATCGATCCCTTTTTATTTTTATTATTATTATTATTTTTTCCGTAATTATGATAATGCCGTATTTCAGTCAACTCTTAGACTAGAAAACATTACGTGACGCTTTCTCTTTCTTCATCATTATATATATAGGAGCCAAACCTACATAATTTACAAACAGACAATCTTCTTTGTATTCAATTCCTTCTTTGTATTCAATTCAATCTTCTTGGTATTTGATTCTTAAACTTCTGAATCTCTGATTGGTGTTTTTTTAAGCCAATCGTTATTGTTGAATTCATCAGTCTGATTTCTGTAAATTCATTTCTGGGTCTCTTATTGCTTCTACCCGAATTTCAACGAATTCATCGGAATTATAGTTGTTTGTGACCAATTTCAGGTAATTCTTATATTTTTATCGCTTTTATGAACTGGGTTTGTTTCAATCTAGTTTGTTTTTGCTTTGGGTAGCTTATACACTCAATCTTGAATGCCCTAATTTATGTTAAATCTTTGAAATTAATTCCTTCTGTTGAAGGATTCTAAACTGTTATTTTTTCATTGCTTTTACGAACTGGGTTTGTTTCAATTCAGTTTGTTTTTGTTTTGGGTAGCTTATACACTCAATCTTGAAAGCCCTATTTTTTTTGGTTAAATCTTTGAAATTAATTCCTTCAGTTGAAGGATTCAATTGCTTTTGCTAACTGTTTAGTTTCCAGGTTTCCCAAATTTTCTGTACTTGAATGTCTCAGAGCATTTTAGGTTGATCTACCCCTTGTCACTGTTATTGCAAATTTTCAACTTATATACTGAATTGATAACTGTATCATTATTTTTTTACCCATTCACAATTCAAAGTTGTTGAAAATTTCAGGGTATTGGAAGTTTAGTCCGAAATTGTAACAAATCATTCTTAGAATCTAATTTTGGATTTTCACCCATTTGACAGTTCTTCTTGAATAAAGGTTTCAGATCTTAGAAGCTTGATCTATTTCTCATATTATCCATTTAAGATTCAATTTTTCACTTTGGGATTAAGTAACCAAAGGATGACGACCGGAAGTCTTAAGCCGGCGAAAGAGAAGAGGTCGCGGAATAGCAGACATGTTGTTGATGAGAAAGCCCCCCTCTTGCCCACTAAGCAAGAAGAAGATGCTGGTTATGACGAGTTCAATGGGGCTTCTTTTACTGGAGCAGTGTTTAATTTGTCAACCACAATTGTTGGTGCTGGAATCATGGCCTTGCCAGCCACCATGAAAGTGTTGGGTCTTGTTCTTGGGATTGCTATGATCATTTTCATGGCATTCTTAGCGGAGGCTTCGATTGATTTGCTGCTTAGGTTTAGTAGAGCGGGGAAATCGACTTCTTATGGAAGTGTTATGGGGGATGCCTTTGGAAAATATGGAAGGATTTTGCTGCAAATATGTGTTTTAATCAACAATATTGGTGTACTAATTGTGTACATGATTATTATTGGTATGAAACATCCATCCTATGATTTTATTTTTCATGTGTATTATGATATCTGTTTTATGGAAGATATTGTTAGCATCTTAATCTTATAACGTGCCCAATTAATCACTGATAAGTACAACTCTAATTAATTTTTGTAATTTTTTGCTCCTTTTAATCATTTTGAAGGTGATGTGCTTTCTGGAACTTCTTCTGGTGGAATTCACCATGCGGGTGTTCTGGAAGGGTGGTTTGGAGAGCACTGGTGGACTGGGCGTACCATTGTTCTTCTTGTCACAACCCTTGCTGTATTTGCTCCATTGGCAAGCTTAAAGCGCATTGGTCAGTCTTTATTTTGATATGGCAATGATTTGCAATCTTGTACTTAGTTGAAATAGCTTCTTCTTATTTATTTTAGTCCTAGTTGCTACACGTCATACATTAGCTGATTCAAGTAGCCTCATATGCTTACTTATGGTCCATTATGTTTTATTTATGTTGCTAATTTGTGGTTCTAGGAAGTATACAGATATATCCTAATACCCCAATTTTGGTGATCACATGTCACTTCTCATTTTCCCTGTTTTACAGATTCATTGAGATACACATCTGCCTTATCAGTTGCACTGGCTGTGGTGTTCCTTGTAATTACCGTGGGAATCACATTTATTAAGTTGATAAATGGAACCATTTTGATGCCCAGATTGCTTCCGGATGTTACTGATTTGACATCATTCTGGAAGCTCTTCACTGTAGTCCCTGTTCTTGTCACTGCATACATCTGCCACTACAACGGTATGCAAGCGGATTATTTATTTGTATGATTTTCAGTATATATTGAGGACTGTCAAAAAAAGTACTTTTGAAAATTACCAAATATGAAATAACATGTTAAAAACCGGAAAAAGAGTGAGGTTGTGGAAACCTACTTGGGAAAAAGGTTTGATTCAAGTTACCCGAGATTACGTAAGTTATATATGGTTGGGTTTGGGTTGTGCACCTGGTCTGATCAACCTAAATTAATTAATTATCTTAAATGTCTTTATTTTTTGAACTTCCATCTGATGCTTGCAGACAACAGATTGTTTTGGGTCAACTAATTTGGCCTATATCTGATTGACTGATAATTTAGCTAACTCAAATCGTGTAATTCCTTTATGTCCATTTATACTAAAATAAATTTTTCATCAGATTTTTCAAGTTATCTGCACATAAATAAGTTTGATGAACTCTGAACGTTTAATCATGGTTTGAAGTGTTAAAATTAATTTATAAAAAAACTAGATTCTGATGTTTGAGATATCAAAATTTTATTTCTAAATGGCTGATTGTGGCACAAATCAGCTTCAGCAATCTGACCTCAGTTCCTAACAAAAGTATTTTCACCTTTTAAAGTTGGAAGTTCTAAAATAATAAAGGCTGACCTTCTGGGAACATCAAAATTTTGCAGTTCATTCAATAGACAATGAGCTTGAAGACAACACACAGATAAAAGCTGTTGTGCAAACCTCACTTGCACTCTGCTCATCTGTGTATGTATTGACAAGCCTTTTTGGGTTCCTTCTATTCGGTGATGCAACTCTTGACGATGTGCTTGCCAACTTTGACGCCGACCTTGCAATTCCTTTTGGATTTCTGCTAAATGATGTTGTTCGTGTTAGCTATGCTGCCCACCTCATGCTTGTCTTTCCCATTGTTTTCTATCCGTTGCGGTTGAACATGGATGGTCTCCTCTTTCCATCGTCAAGGCCTTTGGCTTCAGACAACTTGAGGTTTGCATTGATCAGCACTGGACTCATTGCTCTAATCTTCTTCGGTGCAAATTTCATACCCAGCATTTGGGACGCTTTCCAGTTCACTGGAGCAACTGCTGCAGTTTGCATTGGGTTCATCTTCCCTGCTGCCATTACTCTCAAGTAAGTTACCTTTCTTTCTTATTACTGGAATTAGTAGGAACTTCATTTATTAATTTTCTTTATTGGGGGTTTGTCGTTTGCACAAAGAAAAAGTAATCATGGTTAGTAAAAACATTGGTCGTATATGAAAGGAAAAAATAACTTAAACACCTTACAAGTGGTGCCACATGAAAAATTATCAGCAGTAGATATCCTGGAGGGGGAAAAAATCTATCCAATAAGTGGAACTTAAGGGAAAAAAAAAAAACCAATGTCCTTGTTGAAGCATATGAAAATATGAACACCTGCAAATTGCCTTTACTGAGTTACCTGACAGATTAGAAATATTTGCTTCTCTTCCTGTAGAAAGAAATGTGAGAAATCCATTGAGTGGAACTTAAGGACAGAAAACAATGTTTTTGTTGAATATATGAACATCTGAAAATCGGTTCTTTATTTATTTTTAATTATTTTTTTCTTTTTAAAGTCACATTGGAAATATTTGATTCTCCTCCTATAGAAAGAAATATAAGAAATCCTCTCCACTCGTGCTCTGTCTTTATCGTTTGGAGTCCCTATTCATGTCCCAATTATATTAAAGATGAGACCTCTTGTTTGGGCAACGCTTTCGATTTGAACATGTGTGAAAAAGTTTAGCCTTCATGCTCTGTTGCTGCCTTAAGGCCTTACATGGATCATAAAAATAGGAAGAAATATGGTTTCTCCATGTTGGAGACAGATGTTGGCTTAAATTACTGTGCAACTCCTTAAGGTATAGAATCATTACACATGCCTCTTTTAAATTGTCTTTCTAAAATTCGTTGACTAACTTTTATGGGCCAATTTCAACTAATTAATTAAAATTGCAACTTCTGGACATAAAATTTCCTAGTCGCTATAATTTGGTTCAAAGTTCTAAATTGTTTGAATTTTAAAATACCCATGGCCATGAGGGAAATGATTTGCCCATGATGGATAGGATTTTTTTTTTTTTTTTTGATCCATTGAAAAGCAAAATTATGGAGAAGTTTTTTTTTTTTTATTTTTTTATTTTTTTTTTTCATTTTGGATTTTCAGAGTGTAAGTGTCATTATTATTGTGAAAATCTGGTCTTTTGAATCAACGCAAAACAATTTTCTATTGACATTGTTCTCGAACTAAATTGTAGTTTCAAGAATAATTTCATGTAATGCCTAGATTGAAGTTAATGGAAGTTTAACTTATGATTTCTGGTTCCATGATTTTGTCAATACTAGGTGTTAAGCAATGCAGTAAATAGTTAATTTCTCTAGAAAGTTACTTCATAAAGCTACCACCATTGTCACTTGAATTCTTATAAATTGTTGCACTGACTTATGGTTATAATTAACAAGATTTTTGTATGCTCTCCTGATTAGTGTTGACATGTACTTTGAGATGAATGGTCTGATCTTTTTCTCTTGTTTCCTTCCACGTGCATAATAATTAGAAAGCCTATCACTACTAGCATTGTGCCCAAAAAATTTTAGTTACCGATTATAATATCTGTTGTATGTATTGTTTCATGGTCTTTAAGGAATCATCATGGTATAGCAACAAAGAGGGACAAGATATTATCGGTTTTCATGATTGTCCTTGCTGTGCTCTCAAACTTGGTGGCCATATATAGCGATGCCTATGCCTTATTCAAGAAGACTCCATCAACGCGTGAATGATCTCTCTTGTTGCTTGTTAAAGGCAATGGACCAGAAGGTGTCATGAAGACACCGGAAAGATAGGATCATCTGCAACAATTGTGAGTCAGGTTTTTCTAGGTCTGGTGAGTTTTCTTTCAATAAGACAAAACGTTCAACTCAATATATAAAATTGAGTTGCTTGGCTAGAATTGTACAAAGGCGTGTATCCATTTTGGATTCTATATATCCCTGCTGTGTATAATTGTATTAGATTGTGCTTAATAATGGATGTTGTTGTGTAATGGAATGAAGTTAAAGAATTACAAGTTCATACCTTGGACATTTGTTTTTGTTTCTTCCTTTCTTATTCTCCTTATTTCTCTTTGATGGGATTTTATCTATATATATTCACTGAGCTCCAAAACTCACCTCCAATTTCTGGAATTGGCTCTTGTTATTTACTATTGGGCATTCCTTTCATTTCACAATAGTGAGGTTTTGTCAGGACAAATATTCTCGAGTAATTGGAAAAAAAAGACACCGAGTTGTAGCCATTTTAACATTTTGAGGTGGATCATATATGCACCATTTTCTCTTAGGAAAATTTAAAAAGTGCACTCACATGGTATGTGATGGGCTCCACGGTTACAATTTGTGAGATCAAGATTAGTTTGGTGTGTGCTTGTTCTTTTCTCATATGCATGGCTGACATTGTAATTTATTTTTATTCATTCTCGATGGGGATCTGTAAAGCACTCTAAAAAATGAACCATGCTGCCAAATCTTCCAGGGAGATTGTCCTCGCTGCGAATGCGAATGGTCTGAGTGGATGAGGTTATAAAATTACGATTTTTTTATGTTTTTATTTTGTGTCTCTCTTCCCGTTGACATTCTTTTTTTTTCTTAATTTTATTCTCTTCAGTTTTTTTAAGTGGATAGGTTGTCATCCTGTAATTTTATTCTTTTCAGTTTTTTTTTTTCCTAGGTGGATAGATTGTGATACTGTCACAAAAATATAGATAGGTATTAATAAAAAGGTCAATCACAAAATAATAATAATAACAATAATAGCTGCTATGATTGATTTTAATAAGAAAATATATTTATTAAATTGATTTCTGAGTATAAGATCATACATTTAGGTTTAGAGTTGGGCTCATTCTATATATTTAGTTTTCTTTTTCTTTTGCCACAAACTTCAAAGCGGGGAATTTAATTTTGCCGCTTAAGATAAAGTTGTATATCATTACTCTAATATTTTAATGAGTTGATGGCTTATTACACTATTGCTTTCTCCTTTTTCCAATAAGGAGTCACACCTATTTATTGTATTTCTAATCTTTAATAAATTGTTAGAATGATTTACAATAAATAGTTAATAACAACTCTCTAAAACTTTTTAATATTTATGAAACTCTTTATTATTTTAGAATCTCTTATAATCTACTAATTTATAAAAATTCTCAAATATTCTAAAATCATCTCTCTTTATAACACTCTCTATACAAATACAAACATTTTAAATTTTCTATTTCTTTACAACACTACCCATACAAATTTTAATGCAGTCTCTTAATGTGTCATTTGCATGATGTAACCTTATGTAAATAGATGGATGTATCTCAATTTTATTGTTGAATCTAATTTTTGTTTTGAAAGAATAAATATTAGCTAAGCAAAGGCATCAGTGAGAGGCCGAAGCCTTAATATATTCACTTTTTATATGGCATTTTCCACACCCCCCTTGTGTCGAAGACTAGTAAGACGAAGAATCCCTTCTAGAATTTTTTTTCCCAGCATTTATCCGTTTTTATTCCCCGCTTACTTATGTCTAGTATCTAGTGGAATTTAATTCTCGTCGAATAAAAAACAATTGGTGTATTTTATGACATTTAAATCTGGAAATAATAACACAGTCGCACCGCCCCAATTTGGATTAAAAAAACAAAGAAAGGGGAAAGTAAAATAGTATTCTTTACAATCTACATACTCTATGACAAGGAACACGGTACAAGAAATTCCCGGCATCTAGTAGAAAAATAATATAAACAAGCAAAAGTTTTTCTTTCATAATTAAATTTTTTGACCATACATAATCGCCAACGAGAATTTTTACGAACTTGATGTTGATAAATCCGCGAATCTAGAAATTCATTTCGGACAAATCACTCGGAAGGAAAACAAATAAGAAAATTAATTTTTAAAATCACTAAGCTTGGTAGGAGGAAAGAATTGAGGAGCAATGGATGAGAAGGGGAATAAAAAAGCTGTTGGTGTGTGAGATGAATGGTCCGATTTTTGTCTCTTGTTTCCTTCCATTTGCCATATTGTTACATGCGCTTCATTCTTTGATATAATAATCAGAAAGCCTATTAGTAGTGTTGTGCCCGAGAATTTATAGTTACTGATTATTAAAATTATGGAGAATGTTTTTTTTTTTTTAACAGATTGTAAAGGGTCATTATTATTGTGAAAATCGGATCTTCTGAATCAACGCAAAACAGTTTTCTATTGATATTGTTATGTTATAATCTCGAACTAAATTGTAGTCTCAAGAAGAATTTCATGCAATGCCTAGATTGAAGTTAATGGAGGTTTAACTTATGATTTCTGGTCCCAAAGTGTTAAGCAATGCAGTAAATAGTTAATTTCCCTAGAAAGTTACTTCATAAAGCTACCACCATTTTTACTTGCATTTTTATAAATTGTTTTTCGCACTGGCCTATGGTTATTATTTATTATTATTTTTTTTAACACCAAGTAACATAACACCCAAGAACAAGGAAAAATACAATCAGGGAGAAGAGTATTTAACGATCACGGGTGCCTAATGCTCCACTCTAAATCATCACATTCGGCTTTAAGAGCCTTCTTACTTAACAGATAAGCAACAATATTTCCTTTCCGTGGACCCCATGAAAGGGAAGAGCCAACACAATGAAGAAGAGATAAAACATCATTATAAATAACTATCAGTAGGCTTCAATTGCATAACGGACTGACTGTCACCTTCCACTATCACATTGTTGTACCCCCAATTTTTAAGAAGAAGCAAAGACTCCCGGAGCATAAGGCCTTCAGCCATGGTAGGACAACTGACATTCTCAAGAAAGACACAGGCGATCTTGACGGGGAGACCAAGATGGTTGCGTAGAATCAAACCGCCGCCGCAAGATTTCGTAATGGAATTGAAGGCAGCATCAAAATTGAGTTTGAGGCAGTCCATATCAGGCGCTTTCCACACCTCAAATGGAGGGGGAGGAGGAGATGAAGAAGGATGGAGCAACCTATTTTGTCGAAAGATCTCCTGAAATTCCTGAAAGTCAGAAAAGGCTTTTTTAATGACATCTTTGGCCGAGAGAATACTCTTCCAAACCAAAGAAGCACTGGATTTGTATGAGGGCATCAATGAAGCTACAATTTTTGAAATATTTGGATTTGAAGGGTTTAAAGAGTAACGAATCATCACCTCTTTCCATCCGCCATGCAAGCTTGCAAAAAGAGCAAGATTAAAAGCCTCCCCATTTTTTAAGCCAAGCCCACCATTCATTCATTTTGGATTTGTAAAGATTGTCCCAACTTATCCATTTAATTTTATTAAATTTTTCTTCTCCGCTTCACCAAAAGTTAAAAAACTGCTTGTTGTAATTAACAAAATTTTTGTATACTCTCCTGATTAGTGTTGACTTTGAGATAAATGGTGTAATCTTTTTCTCTTGTTTCCTTCCATCATTCATTGATATAATAATTATAAATAATAATAATAATAAATAAATAAATAGTTTGTGTTTTCTCAATTGATCTATTTTATTTATTTATTTTTTTAAATAATAAAATTATTTTATTGATACATTGACTTGCCGGGATACATTTCTAAAATTAATTAATGAATATTGTCTCAGATGAATTGTACTCCGTAGTAAAGTAGTATAACTTTACTAACATAATATTATTGGTTATTATAAGTTGAATTATATATAGACTATATCCATGACCGTCCATATTAGGTGGTTTATTTCCGTGAATACAAACCACTTATATATAGTGTCCCTTATCCACATTTTTTGATATACCTTCTAAAACTTAAAATATCTACATATTTACCAAACCCTTTTAGCTTCTAAAATCTTATATAATATATTAATATATATATAGAATTATCAGATGATGTTATAGAATTATCTATCTTTTTAAAACTTCCGTTAAAAAAAAAAAAAAAAAAACTTTTAAAAACACGTATACACAAATGTTTCCGACTTTGGGCAAAGGCCCGCCAATATAATACATTACCAAGCCAATAGAATTTAAATCTATTGTAAAACATTTCATTCCGAGAAATTGATAAAATTTTTGTATATTTTATTAGATTTTTTTCCCTTTCCTACTTTTTCTTTTAAAATGTTTCTTTTTTGTTTTTTCTTGTCTAAAATTGTCGACCTTTTTTTTTTTTTTTTTTTGTTCTTTTCACTCATTACATTTGTCCCTAGACTCTAATCTTACTCCATTTACTACTACTACTACTATTATTATTAGCATTATTATTGTCACATATTTTGGAATTTTATAACTATCAAGAATTTGAAATATTAAAAAAAAAAAAAGCCATTTTCATATTTTTGCCAAAAATCTTAAATAATATTGAGCCAGATCCTCCTCAATTTTCAAGTTTCATCTACATGGTATAACCTCCTGCAAATGTATGAGTGTTATCTCAATTTTGTTGTTGAACCTGAAAAAAAAGAGAAAAATAAAAAATCTGAAACTCTGGACCAACATCTTTTATCAGACAACAAAACAATAAATCTGTAGTGACTTGCTACCAAGGAAATTAATTTTTAAAGTCACTTATTAAAAAATATGTGTGTATATATATATATATATATATATATATATATTTGATTTTTCGGTTATTTGATTGATTTTAAATAGCAAATCCGTCATCTATTCATATGGTTAGAATGGACAAAATTCATTTGAACAAAATTTAAGGTCATTGAATGGAATAATATGTGGAATATTTACAACCTAACAAAAACAATTGAGAATTTTTATTACGTTTATCAACTCCTATTATAAGTAGTTTCAAATCTCCAGACTCACTCTTCCGAGTTCAAAATTATGATTGAATGCATTTTTTTAAATGTTAGATAAATATAATTCTTATGACTAAATACTAATCTTATACATAGTACATACAACTCATTTGAGTAAAATTGTAATAATTTTTTTGTTTTTGTCTTTTTTAAAAATACTTGATTATTTCAAATAAAAATATTAGTTAAAAAATTCACAATTAGGTCATCCAATAATGCAGTAAAAAATTACAAGTAACTAATTTTTATAAAATTCAAACAAATCTGTCTAAATTCTAAAACCTTGAAAATATCAATACGGCGTCGCTTTGATATTCAGAATTTACTTACACCTGGCATTTTCCTCCGTTCAGTAAACGACGTCGTACCTACCTCGTCTTTATTCTTTAACCATTTGCTCTGTGGTGCTTCGTCGTCCCCAACGCCAAGCTATGGCTGAGAAGGTAGAGGAAAAGGAAAGAGACGAACTCACTGAGTCACTCAACGATCTCTTCACCAGCGTCTTCAACATGGTGAAGGGAGAGCTTCAGGTACTCTCTCTCTACACTTTCTCTTTCTAGTTTTGTTTGTCCTTGCATCCTTATTTTTCAAAATCTAGGGCTAGCGATTCAGACTCTGAGTACTGTACTGATGTGATCATGGTTTGATTTCATTTCTATAATTAATTATCTCAAATACTGTGTGTATAGATATATACAGACACACTTCTATGCAAATTCGAATGGGAACACAAAAGGTGTAATTTTTAGGCTCTTAATGCATCTAAAATTACAGTAAACGTGGAATGTGAGGTTTTGGCATTCCATTACAATTAGGGTTTCAGGTGATAGTTACAATAGTTGAAACCTCTTTAGATCTATGTGACTTCTGATTAAAGTGTTTGATTATTTTAAGTGTTTATGGCTTATTGGGTTCAATTATCTGCAAACAGTTTTGAAGGATTGAAAATTAGGAACAGAACTACATAATGTTTCGAAATTTGGCCTTTTCTTTAGCTTAACTTCAGAAACAATTTTAAAATTTCAATTATCTGAAAACAGTTTTGAAAGATTGAAAATTAGGAACAGAACTACATAATGTTTCGAAATTAGGCCTTTTCTTTAGCTCAATTTCAAAATCAATTTTTGAAAAATTATCAACCAAATGAACCTCTGAACTGTTTTCTTTCTTTACAGAAAATTATGCTGAGAAAACCGAACCAATCTGGCTCTTTGGTTCCGTTTGGGTATAAAGAAAAAAGTATTGGAAAGTGGAAGTAATAGAAAGTGAAATGATGAAAGCAAAATTTCTTGCAGGAATTTGGTAAAAATCTACAAGAAAACTGTAGGACAATATTGTTTTATAACTCGAAGAACATGAAAGTTTACGTGAAGATACACTTGTGTGTTTTTGTAGGAAAGTTCTGGAAGAAGAATAAGCCGTTAATGGAAACATAATTCCAAAAAAATTTCTTTGTTTTTTTATTTCCAAACTCTTTGAAAGTTGAAAATTTTCCATTCCTTCACTTTCATCACTTAACCCATTCAACCAAACGAGCCCTTAAAATTTTGTACTTTATATACCATTTTCATGGTAGTTATTCGGTAAAATGAATCTTGCTTACTCGGGGTTTGGCACTTTGAAATCATGAAGTAAGGAAAATTCTTAAGCCATTTATGGACTTTGACAAGATGCAGCTGATTCAAGAGCTAATTGACTTTGACAAGATGACTTCATCCATTTCAGAGATATAAGATCTATTGCCGCCTTAATTTAATTTTTGGCTATTGTTTTAACTTCTAACCCCGACTTTTGATTAACTTATAACCCGACTTTGACAATACTTCATCCATTTCAGTGGAAATGACGAGTTCAAATTATTGATATTTCTCAGGGAACAAACAATCTACTAGAACTTTTGGAGAAGATGAATCTCAGAGTGGCGGAAGAGTATAAAGGCTTTGGTGACGTGGCTTCCGGGTTAAGGGTTTTTGTGGAGCAGCTGAAATCCAAAAGTGGCAACTTTGATGAGTATGTTCAGCAGATTGATGCAATAGAACAGCAAGTGACAGAATTTGAAGCTGTAATCTCCGTGCTTGATAAATATGTTTCTTTGTTAGAATCAAAAGTGCAATCTGTTTACCAAATTCCTCCTTCATAAGTATATAGTTACGAATTGTTGCTGAAATCGATTTCAACATTGATCCTAATTCGTTTATGTCCAAGATTTGTTGTTCTTTTTCTTTTTGAGTGGGTTAAATTTGAAGCTGCAAATGCATGACATGAGTGAAGATATCTACTCACTCTGAAATAGATATTCCCAGGTTGTGAAACCATTAAGTGATTGTTGATTCCATCTTTTCAATCCTCGTGCACGTGGCTAGCCCTTTTAATTCGTGAAACAACAGCAGGTTCTGTGTTGAACTAATGAAAATGTTGCGGTTTCTTAGTTTGCAAGACAAGTTAATCCTGAAAATCGTAAAGAAAAGCAAGCTCAATTGATATTCATACATTGGCCTGCGAATCATATTCATATAATATCATGCAAATTGTCCCCGTGTGCGCATATCTTGATTTTCATTACAACTAGGTGGAGAGTACTGAAGCTCACTACACTCGACAGGAGCACTCAGAAAGGCTCTCTGAAACTTTGTGGAAAATCACTAAAACTCATCACCCTATTCAATCGTAAGATTTTCATGTGAATTGCAATTATTTGGCTCGGAGTAATAGCTTCTTTGTTTTCTACAGGCAGCCTTGTTTTTCTGTTATAATGCAGTATCCACTTAAAAAACTCTAAACCAGAAATCATGGTATCGATTTGTCGGAATTCTGCTTCAATACATATTGTTAAAGTCACTATTTTAAGGGACCAATGATCTCAATTCAAAATACTTTACAGAGACTTTACATTGATGCAAAAATACATAAAGCTCAAGTACTGAATCTTAGACCTAAACAATTCCCGGAACAGCCATATAGATAGCGTAGCAGGTATGAGTTACAGCAGCAGTAGGATCAAACCCTTCTTGGCAAAGTCAATAGCAATTCCGCATTTACACGTGCTACAGCGACCATGAATATCTTGTTGAATGTACAAGCGAGAACTTTGAAGGTTGGAGGTGAAGATTGAACCAAACATAGCGGCACCCTACCATGCCAGATCTTCTCAATGCCCAAGGACACGGCGCAAGATATCACCATACCTCAAGTATCTACCAAACATTGTGTGGCAAGCACTCTCCTTTCCTTAGCCATGCTCATAAAATTGTAGCGGATGGGAAGCGCAGAGATGGTGATATATATATACAGTGCCACCATGTCGCTGTAAAGAATAAAGATGAAGAGTCGCTGATGGTTCAGATCAGTTGAAGAAATAGGGCGACTCTAGAACATCTCTCAGATCAAAGTCTCCCCGTTCGGGCAAGGGGGGAAACGATAATGTAGGGAAAGACTTCTGAAAGCTCTCCAACAACTGTTCAAAAGGAACAACAGTTCAGACCAGCTGTGATGCATACAACACTTTATCTTAATATTCCCTGCAACTCTAAACTTGGATGTACTAAGTAGCAAGATACTCTTTCCATTGAAATGAAAATTTAAATATAAAATCAGTATATATGGCTGCAAATGAGCTAAATCTATGTGAAGTAGGGTATTACGCAAGCTTGGCTAAAAATTGAAGACCTCCTAAATGTAGCTTTTTTATTTTTTTTCTTCATGAGCTGATCTGGAATGAGCCTCTAATTGAGTAAAATCTCGATTCAAGCCCAAATAGTTTTTATCTTTTAGTCCCAAATACATATTAGTTTTCGAGCCAAACTTGATTGAGGCTTGATACATAGTGAATTTCAAATGTGATCAAACATGACTCATTGATCTCAGAAGGTCAATCTTGAGCAAGCCTCCATTGAGCTGATTAGAAACTGACCTCGACCGTTGGTTCATACAGCTCGACATCCATTGCTTGCTCTAGACCATACACAGAAAATATATATATATATATATATATATATAATAAAAGCTATTGATTTCAGAAACATGGGTCAGACCAAGCTTATTCTGCACTGGTTTCATTCAAACCAAACTTTTGATACTAAGAATCTATCCCCTTTTTATATTGCAAATAAAAGATTCCCTTTCATTATTAAAGGAGATATTGACAAACTTTAAATGGGGAAATATTGGATAGATCTGGTCCCTTGAGAATTTGAGATGAACAGCGATCCTTTAGTTTCCCAGAGCTTATTGATGATATTCAAGTATTTAACAATAGATGGGAATTTCATAAAAATATAGAAGAACTTCAGAAGTGAAGAGGGTCAAGATACTTTACATTCTCCAGTATTGGTGTTTCATAGAGTTCAACGAACTTTTCTCTAAGTATCCTGTTCATTTCATCCACATCACATGCATGCGTCCAATATGAATCATGAACACCTGTAGTCAAATACAGTTATGTGGTAACTTGGTCAAAAAACAACCAAGGAAAAAAGAGGAGAACAAAAAGGTTGTGAAACAAAAGGGAATCTCACTGAACGAACCTGCAAAGTTTAAGCCTGCCTTTTTGCAGGCCACTGCAGTCATCATCATATGTGAACCATCAAGGGAGTGAACAAAATTTGGTGGAAAAGCTGTTTTCTGCCGCTTGACCATGATCTATGATAGTAAGAACCATTACTTTTGAGATTTGGAATCCAGACAGCTAACAATATTTGCATTGAAATTATATTCACAAATGAATAAACAGCGAAAAAAAGGAGATAAAGTTGGCCTAAATACTACTTTTTAAGAGGATGCTTGGACCAAGTCCTGGTGCTGAAGGACAGGATGGATTCTCCTGAGTCAGGCTTAAAGAAGTGCGCTAGAACCTCTAATTAATTCCCCAAGTTGGTCTTAACCAGTAGTAAGAAGTTGACACCAAATACAGTTCTGAGCAATAATCCTCATTACTGTCTAAAGCAGTCCCAATATATACAACTACGTCGCATGGTTGGTTCCCAAGATATGAGAATGACACTGATGATTTGATCCTGATGGACAACTGGGTTATCCTAAAATATCTCATCTAACGTTTTCATTTTTAATGAAAAAGTATACACCGGGAAGCACGTAAAAAATAAAAAATAGCATCAATATAAACATGGCAGAAATTTGGACATAATAGGTAGAATTACCTTTTCTGTTTCCCGTTGTAGTGTCAAAACCTGAAGCGAAGTTTTAACCTGCATCCAAATCAAAGAAATGAAGCTTAATGACATTAAATGATTTGTTGATAGTCCCTAATGTGATAAGGATATCAATGAAATGTTAAGCGTCTTCAAACTCAACACTCACAAGATGCTTTCCTAATTTCCGATAAGGCTGCACAACAGGAAGTCCGAGCGGAGTTGTCCACCTCACAGGCTGATTTTCGGTTGCAATTATCTGTTCAAGCATTAAAGTCAATAATCATAAGAATGTCAAAAAGCAAGGTGCAGAGAAATCAAGTACCAAAAATGCAAGCACGTGCACCTCCTACCCTTCTGTTGTCATTATCAAGTACCAAAAATGCAAACACATGCTCGCGCGTGCACCCACCCACCCACACACACACACAGAGCTCAAACAGTCTTTACCATCCAAAATTGCATTCAGATATAAATTTGCAAAAATCCAAATAAATTAGTACATACTCAAACATTACAATTAATAAGTGAACTCAATAATATGTTTTTATCATTCAACCAAAATATAGAGAGTTTTGCAAAAATCCAAATAAATTACTACTTATTCAAACACGACAATTAATAAGTGAAATCAGTAATAGGATTTTATCATTCAACCAAAATGTATAAAGTTTTTCTGTAAGCAATAAAAAGAAAAAAAAAATGTTTGAAAAAAGAATAAGCAGCAATGGGCCATTAGCACAATGGTATAACCTCTCCTCCCTCAAAGAGGTGAGGGGTTTGATCCCCATAGTGGGCAATTTGTGAAAAGTGTGTGTGTGAGAACTTGCCTAACCAAAAAGAAAAAAAGAAAATAATAAACTATCAAATGCATTTGGCAGCAGAATAAATGTCTTAATCAAATTCGATTACAAAGATTGTATGCTTCTTGTTATTTCATCTAAACACAGAAAGATGCGGAAGGATTTTCAGGGTTCTAGGTAGAAAATATTCCCAAGGCCAAATATGATGAAATAGGTTATCATAACCATAACAGCCAAATGAAATGAGTAACCCACAAGAGAAATAATCATTTGATGATGAAAGAAATAAGGTACATTAAATTGATATCTATGAACCATTGCTTGGTGTTGTGATTAATCATGGCATGCCAAGCGTCAGCACAAAGAATGTGGGTTCAAGTTCACTGCAGCCACGTTGTGCAAATAATACCAAGTTGATTGATCGCTTATATTTTGATGTCCTCACTTAGCTCATTGTGGTCTCCTCACTTAGTTGTGTGCATGAGTGCACTGACACAAACACACAAAAAGGTCTGATATGTTATAACAGCAAAGCAAATAGAAAAAAGAAGCTGAGGTGCACACCTTTGCACAGTCGCCAAGCCAGCTCATGATACTACGTGCCGCTTCAAACATCTCTCCCAATGCAGTTAAGGTAATCTGCTCAACCAGTAAAAAAACATTCTTGTCATAAAGATGAAAAGCCATGAAGAATGAATGCATGCATGTACATTCAAATCGGGGTCGAATTGTGACCCTTGCACTTCCCAATAACTATTTTTATTGCACCCAAGTCTCACTAAATGGACCTTTCATTTAGAAACACTTCCCATGCTTGTCACGCTTTGCCATATCAAATTGAATAAGACTACAAGCTGCCCAGTCCATGTCCAAATTAGAGTTATATTTTACCTTTCAAATGAAAGGAAATGTGAATTTCTGGATTGAACCATTAATGCTCCTTGATCATCTTAATATTTTTCATGCATGACATGTATAAGATAGATCCCTAATCCAACAATTAACTAGAGAAAACATGGGTCCTCCGAAAAGTTTATTGAGGGGTGCAATAATAGTAACTTTTGTACTAGGAGGTCCTGACTACTTTTTATGTACGTATATGTGTGTGTAAATCAATAAATGTATGTATAAAATGGATAAAATATTACATCTTTGTGATATATTGGATAACAAAAAATTATGATATGGGTTTTTAATGAATTCTAAAAATCACAAAAAAAAACCATCATTCATATTGCAAAATATCCAAAATATCTTTGCGTAGGAACTCCGTCAAACATACTACAGTAATGATCAATGAAACATTAAAGCCCATTAGTGAATGGATTTGCAGGCTTTAAAGCTTCATCCTACGAACTCTTTAGAAATGCGTTAATGGTATTAAGATAAGGAATTAGGTATTAGACACAGTTGAATGTACTTGTGCTAATATTCTCATGCAATGCATATGTGCAATAATGTAATTGATATGGTAAATTCAAGAAATGCACATTTGTAGAAATGCCCGTTGTTATTGATATGGTAATTACAACATGGGAATAGCAAACGGAGCAAATTAACAGAGGGACTTTATCTCCACCCTTGGACAGTAAAAGGAATGATGCATTTTTTTTTTTTTTACTACATAAGAACTCTTTGTGCACCTGACTATAGCATTGAATATATTGAATTGTTGCTTTTCTTTTTTTCTTTTTTTCTTTTTTTTCTTTTTTTTTTTAATAACGTTTGAATCTTCCTCGATGCCAACGCATGTAATTATGGTATTACAATAATTGATGCTCTTCATCAGTGCATGTTTTTGTTCCCTAAACACTACATACTTGACAACTATAGAATTTATTTGCAATATTTTAGTTTGAAATCATGTATTAGAATTTTCATTAACAATTTCCAACATGTCATCAAAATTTCCATCATAATAATTCCTCGAGCATCACTTTATCAAATATATATATATATATATATTAATTCCTTGAGCAACACACTTATGTAGCTCCTACTTCGCACATGATGTAACCATATTAATAATGTTGGACTTACTTTTGCAGTATAACAAGCTGCACCAAAGAGCTCCGTGTCATCCTCAATGGCATTACGTTCCTTTAACCTTCTCTTGATCTGATCCCGAGCACCAATATAAGTGACACCATACACAGATGTCATTACTGTCTGCTTCACCAATTTCCTGTCCACCTAGATTTATGTACAGTTATCAGGTCAACTAACAATTAAACAACATTTCTCCACCAATGTAACCAAACAAAACAGCAACGTGCACCTAAAACATCAAACATGATCTGCTTGTATTTCCTAAATGAAGCGTGGAGAATAACATAGATAATTTTATCAACTTCAACTCATCTAATTTATTTTAATTAATGTAGTTCAACTTCAACCCTACTTATAGAATATCTACCTTATGAAATAACCAAAATAACAATGACATCAACAACAAGAATTATAAACATAGCAGAAAACCTGATTGACTAAAACCCTTGCACGCAATGCATCTGGAAAAATTGCAGGATCTTTCTGTGCATCTCTACTCATGATATCAAGAACCCTGCATAACAAACAAATATAACATTATTTTATCATGAAAATGTTAACTAAGGTGATTTCAATCTCTAATTTTGGATATTGCATCATCAAGTACAGACGTGAATTAAATGTTCTGGAGCCTCTGAATCTAAGCCATTTAATTTGCATAAATCTAATATCAACTAATTAAAGCCTAGTCCAGAATTTTGAAAAGTTCACATAACCAGCATGGAGTTCTCCAATTCAAAGCTTTTACTGAGCGCAGAAAATTCCCAAGTTTATTTATATAGCCTTTGTTACAACTTCTTAGTAATTAATTAAAAAAAAGTACCAATAATGTAGTCGAGATTATGGTTTAATCTTATAAGTTAGAACAGGGATAAAATAAACCAATACATATTTGAAAACACACCCATTTTAAAGTGAATTGCAAATTTGATTTGCACAAATCTAATATCAACTAATTAAAGTCTTGTCCAGAATTTTGAAAAGTTCACATAACCAGCATGGAGTTCTCCAATTCAAAGCTTTTACTGAGCGCAGAAAATTCCAAAGTTTATTTATATAGCCTTTGTTACAACTTCTTAGTAATAATAATAATAAAAAAGGTCCGACAATGTACTGGAGATTATGGTTTAATCTTATAAGTTGGAACAGGGATAAAATAAACCAATACTTATTTGAAAATACACCCATTTTAAAGTGAATTGCAAACTTTGTTTGCCATAGTAGAAATTTCCTTTTTTAATGTTTTAGCAAATCACTCATGAAACCTGCTTGAGCTGGGGCAAGATTTGAAAATAACTTTTCAATCCTCTGATTCACGATGAGAAAGAATATTCATAGAAAATCCAAGTTGTGAGGACAAAGCTCTGTCCACTTAAGTTCAGATGATCTGGAAGTTCCTTGAATTATTTGATTTCATGGCTTGGAGATTACCACCAAAACAAATATTATATCCGGTAAAACCATCTATATATCAAAGCTAAACAGAAACGGAATGGCATTTGTAGAGCAAGCTTCTTGAATCAAGAGAAAACTGGTTTACCTAGCAGCTATTCCTGAGTAAACATCAGCCGGTTTTTCTCCCACAACCAAATTGACAGCAGTTGCTCCCATCTGAATGGAAAAAAGGAAAAAAAATAAAATAAAAAATTAACAAGAAAATTAATAGACATGCAACTGAAGTGAAAATATTACATGTAGCCAATAATGAATGAAATTTAAATTTACATTTTTAGACCTCCATCAACAAATCGCCAGTTAGCATACAACTTTATTACTAAATATTTCTCCATTTATTTCTTCTTTAAAATGTTGTTAAACTTCAACAAATGATGAATATTTATAGAATTTGCAACATTCAAAATTGTTAACTGTTTATAATGTTTATAACTAAAAATTATTATGAGTAAATTGCTTGGTGGAACAGTAAGAACGAGGGCTCTCAAGCATGAGAATGAGGGCTTAGGAAATTCACACTGTTCCTAACAGCCCAAATATTAGAGACACTGTAATGGATTCTTCTCCTTCCCCCCACCACCCAACAAACACTTCTAACTACCACTAGTTTGTCACTTCAGTTAGGCGGGGCACCGGTGGTACTAATAAACGGAGCAGGTTTTGGGGTTGAGTTCAGAGTGGGTGGTTATGGACCTTGCCTAACCTGAAATGACCCCTTTCCAGTCCTAAACTTGTTCTCTCCTGCTGTTTGCTAGTCCATACAATCCCCCAAACAGTGAAATGGCAGACAAACGTGCAGTTGAAAACACAGTTTACAGTATAAACTTTGCATCTCTCTGGACTAAGTAGAGGAGAATTACATCTTCTCAAAATTCGGTATTTTTTGTCAGGCTTGTCATAAATGAAAGAGTGACCTAATGCATAATACTCCGGAACAAAAGAAAGAGTCATTACCTTGTCTCTTCCAAGGGCAGCATAGTGCTGTAAACCATTGCAGGAACCATCCTAGAAAACCAGAATTAGTTATTAAATAATCATAAAATCTAAGTAAAATTTACAGTCATAGGTAATGAAATTATAATAACAGCAAGTACACATCCATGCCATTCATTAAAAGGATTATATACATTTGACGTTAATGCTTGCGCATTTAGTTCAATAAAGCAGAAAACAGCAAACACCTTCTTCTAAAGGACACTTCCATTACTTGCAGTATTTACCAACATAAAGGAAGCTACCTAAATTCATCTCTGGTCTGTTTTTATCATAGTGTACTTGGATAGATACTTAAAATTTATATAAAAATAAAAGACACAAGGAATAATATTCCTGAAGGTCCCTAAAGCATAGGAACTACCTTTTTTATTTTTGTACAATACAATTTCTAACTTAATCCTCACAAAATTAAAGGATTATAGATTTCCTTTTAGAAAAAGCTTATGTACAATGGGAATTAACATTCCTGGAGGATACAATAATAGAATTGCCTAGTTCAAAACGAGGCCACATGTCTAGTCAAAACAAGATCTTAAATTGAAAAAAGGAAGCTCATAACACCAAGATTTGGCGTATGCCATGGAAGTACCTGGTGTACAGGAACATGAGAGATTGTTGTCTCTGGAGAAGAGCTTCTCAGAGCTTCAGAGAGACTAATGCAAACAGCCAAGCACTGAAATGGATCTTCTGCATTTAACCACCAACGTTTTCCTTCCAGAGGTTTGTCTGCAGAATCAAATATATCATCCAAGTGATTTTCAGTAAATGCTGTTCGACCCTCGAGAGACAATTTGTCCACGCCACCGGCAAATAGATTTGCCAAGTGTATCTTCAGCCAGCGTAAGCCTGACTTTCCAAGAGGACGTCCCTGTGCGAATTCCAAAACACCCCGACACACATCTGAACCAAGATGGTTTAAATATGGATGCATTGGATATGCACGACCTCGAAAGTCAAGATTGTGTGGGTAGAAGAAACCTTCTTCATCTTTCATTTTCCGCGCCACCTGTTCTCAACGAAGAAAAGTTGGCACAAAATCAACTGGAAAATGTGACATGTTTACAACGTCATAGAAAGCAATAAGGATCTTACAGCAAGTTTAAGTTCTAAATCACACCGCTGTGAATGTCTCTCACTATTCTCCTTTTTCACAGATTTAAGTTTCCACCTCCACTTCCTGAGTAGTTCTTCGTCTTCCGTATCAGGTTTTTCTGGTAAAGGTATCTGCAATTTAACAAGTTAAACAGAAACAGTTGCTTATTTTTGCCAAGAAAAAAAAAAAAAAAAAAAACCACAGAACACACGGCTGAAAATAAGAAGTTCCCAACATAATAACAGACTGCTCGGAGAAGTAGCAAACAGGAACCAACAGGCCAGCGGCCTAGCGGTATCAGGCCCCTACTTCCCAAAGGGAGGTTAGGGGTTCGAGCCTCAATGGAGGCATGTGTGTGTAAGTACCAACTAAGGAAAAAAAAAAATAGCAAACAGGAACAAGTACAATTCTAAAAAAATATAATTTAAAAAAACCGACGTAAAGAATAACTCACATCATTGCGGTCAACCAAATCAGCAAGCCCACCTCCACTGGCCCATATTCTATCCACGACACCGAGTACCCTCTTGTTTACCCTCCATTTTGTATTCCCGAGTGTATCCAGGGCCTAGTCAATTTATTAACGAAATGACCATTGCATTGTTACTAAAATAATAATTAAAAAAAAAAGGACTAAAACTTAAATTTTACAACCTAAATTATAAATGTTTCAGCAGGAAACTTCAACCAATATATATTCCTGAAACAAAGTCAAGTCAAACTATAAAAGCATATATTCTCAAACCTCAAAAACTGGTTCTAATTGCTTCTGAGAAGTCCTCTTAACTGCTTCACGTTGTTGTCTTGCTCCGTGCGTGCGCATGACATAGGATGGTAAGAAAAAGTGTGCTCCCCTATCGTAACTGAAAGGAACAAAAGATACTTTTTTCAGTTCCCTATCTACCAATTCTCGAACTCCCGACCTAAGGAACTAGGTAAGCCAACTACTAAGCCAAAGAGCCCAGAAGAGGACCGGTAAAGGGACAAAAGATAGCCATAGCTACATTTATATAGAATAAGCCGCACCAACACGAGGAATATGTCTGACTAGTTCTTTAGACACTATTCGAGCAGCACGGCAGATCATTTAAAATCAGCTTAAGGGAGAAAAACAAAAATAGAAAGCATATTCATCATCTTTCAATTTTGAGTTGGAAGTCCACCTGTAATTGGGTGCACAATTATATTAATGTGAGAATAGAGCTTCTATTTCATAATTTTCAAATCCTGATTATAAGATAAGTTTTGGACTAATCCTTACAGGAGAGGATGGGCACAATTACTTAGGCTGATGAGATAGATTCATGATTACTTTCCCCCGCTTTTAAGCATAAGAATTCGCCTTTTCTTTTTCTCTCTCTCTAGAAGCACTTACCACATTCCTTTAACACCTCGGCTCAGGTGCTTCCCTGGATGAGTAGAATTAATGTTTTCATCTCTAGAGACACTTCATTGCCTTCTCTAGAATTGCTTTCAACAATGACAAGGGATATGCTAGAATTGGGTTCCACCTCCAAAATATCTTGTCTCCCGGCAGGAATGCAGTAGTCACAAACAACAAGCATATTGGAAGTATGGAACTACTAAATATTTAGAATGCTCTTTTGGTGGTGAAGACCCAACAATTTCTTTGCCCTTCTAATGAGACACCTCATGCCACTTACCTAGATTGGTCTTTTTACGCCCATCTACAGCTCTGTATTCTTTACGGCAATTTTATTTAAGAGGAGGTTTGGCAGAGGTATTGGGATTGGAGGGGCAATAAGCTGTAGTGTAAACGAAGACTTTTGTAACGAAATAACCAACATAAGCCCTATTGATCTAAATTGGAAGGAAATGGAGAAATATGATAAGGGAGTTTGTGATTACTCATTTTGCCCCTATTTTTATAACAAGTTTGTGCTAACATGCTAAAACATTCCTTTCCTCTTTTTTTTTTTTTTTTTTTTTTTCCCTCTCCACTATTTCTCCCAAACATAGGAAGCGGTTTTTACTATCATTTTTTTCATTTCTATTCTCTCCTAACTAATATTATTCTTTCATTTTCTTTCATTTCCCTCCTACTTATCCAAACCTACTGTAAGGAAATGACTAGCCCACTACTCTCTATGAAAGTATGACCAAGTAACTCAATCAAGTAATCAGAAGTTGGAACCATCCCAAGTGAAATGAACGAACCAAAAAACAAAAGTTTAGCTTACATACCCTGTCCACCTAACTGGAGGCACCAACATTGGCATATAAGGGATCACCATGTGCCTGGCCTGTTTGGACAGAGACCAATGTTTGTGATCAAATATTTATAAAAAAAAGACGAAAAATAAGCTCCTGAAATTCAAAACTTCGTCAGATCACGTATTGCTTATGGTCGAGTAACATAATAAATAGCTTGAAATCAAGGGCCAAAAAGCCAAAAGGCATGGGACAACCTAGAAACTCATACACAAGTAGCTTGGCTAACAAAAGCATCCACCATAGAGGCTAAATTGTTGATGGAAAATCAACAAATTAAACAAGAATTTAGTTTATGGTAGATTGCAAAAAAAAAAAAAAAAAAATCCCTGTTATATAAAAAAATGTGCAAGAAACACCCTTGCTATTTAGTATGAGCATATAAATCCCTGTAATTTGAAATTTTGTAGCAAATTGCCCCCTGATCGTCAATTTTGACCATTTTTTATTTTATATATATATAAACCCAAAATACCCTTAACAAAATTTGTGCATATTGGCGTAGCGGGCGTGCAAGACCCAATGAAAGCCAACAAAGGAATCACACACAAACACAAGATATAACATGATTCAGCCAAAACAGGTTTACATCCATGGATGCGAATAGATTCCACCATGATTCGTAGAGATATTACAAGACTAGAGTACCAACACCGTTTACATGCCTTTTCACCATATACCACTCCATGAGTCTATTTCCTCGCTACCAGTGTCACCAGTGTTTTTCCTACTCTACCAACTCATATAGTACCTCTACCCATCAACTCCCTCGTAAACTCCCTCAATCTCATAAGTCTTACCCACAACCTAGGCACCTATTCATAGAGTTCCAATCCCAATTCCTTGTTGGAGAAGGATTACAATTCCTTGACGGAGAAGGATTACAATTCCTTGGAATCTAAGACTTGCCTTACAAGAAATTACCTAATAAAATACAACTCTAAAATAGAAACCTAATTAAACTAGAAATTTGAGACAAAATTCCCTACAGTGTTTTTGTTTTTATTTTTATTTTGTTTTAAGGGCATTTTAGGTATTTCAGTCTTCAAATTGAGAAAATGTCCTTGTTTGCTCCTTTTGAAAAATGTAAGGGGGTTTTTTGAACACCAGTTTTTTTTTTTTTTTTTTTTTTTAGCACCTTCTGTATAACAGGGAGGAGTTTTGCACTTTTCCCTTTAGTTTATTATAAAACTAAATAACCAATGTCAATCATGCAGCATCAGATATCTTGAGAATATGGAATAAGATGGACTGATGTAGAAGTGTAGAATTCCAAAAAAGAAGAGAACCATTAGAGTCACTTACAGTTCTATCCAAGCCCTTGAGAACTAGTGGGTCACATTCAATTAGACCATATCTTCTGCTGGTTTTCCTTAAGAATGGAAAGCCCAGAAGCATTATTTGAAGCTTTGAAAAATCACTGATGGATAATCTATATATGGAACTTGGAGGAATGCATACTTACTTTGTTTCGTTCATGACAGTTTTGAGTGTGTGTACAAACGCCGGTCGAATATCAGGTGGTCCATCAGCTAGCTGATCAGCTGGAGGTTGTATATAGGCTGTTTGAATTAGCAATTCAATTAGACGACTGCCAACCTGAAAAGCAACAGGAGGATAGCACTTTTATGTAACCCGATATCAATGAGAACATGTAAGTTTTTATCAGTAGTAACTAGCAATCAAACAAACCTTAGCATTAGCATCCAGGCCCCAGGGTTTTGAATCATCCTGCAGATTCACTATCTTCCTCACTGCATGAAGCTTTTGTTTTTTAACCAAATTAGTAACTGTTTTATGTAGTTTATGTTGTTCTTGGGATGCAGCATGAGATCCATCTCCTTCAATTTTTGTTTTTTTATCAGCCTTTTTCTTCTGTGTCTTCTCCAAAAATTTGTGTATCCTAACCTGATAGATTGGAGAAATAGTAAAAAATAAGTGCTTAGTCGGAGAGAGGGAGGGACGGGAGAAGAGAGACTTTGTCTAGAATAAGAATTGTGTGCCTAAGATACTAGGCATGAGAAGTTGGCAAAATGAATCATTGCTTTAAATAGTATTTCTAAAGAAGAAGAAAAAAAAAATGCATACATATTTTAGTGTCCAGCATAAAGAAACTCTAGCACACAATGGCAATGGCTACATTGTCAATCATATGATATTCTGGCATAGAAATTGTCACAAAGAATCATGTCCAACATAGATGTGAGAATTGAGATAAACCTATTTTAACAAAAAACAATTTGTCCTTGTCTCACACTGTTTGTCTTCTTATAAAGGATAATAGAATAGAGCATCAACCTGAAAGACCCTTAAGCGTGAGCTTTTATTAACAAGGAAACAAAACATGGAACCACATTGTAATGTTTGGCAATCCAGGGATAATATCAAAATGCATGGATTTAAGTGGCAATAGAGTTCAGTTTTGAGAATTCAAGAGAAGCTTTTAAAGCTTTGAGTTGATCTCTTACACTAGGGGTAAAACTTAAGGAATATTCCTAGTATTGTATCACATAATCATATAGAAAGCAGTGCCAACCTTCAACAAGTAAGCTCTAATGCTAAAGGATTAATTTGTCACATTCGTCATGCTCTCCTGTAGAACAACTTAATATGATACTGTGACCCAATGCCAGTTTACGGTATAAGCTATTGTGATAGGAGATTAATCAATTCTCCTCTAATTGCTTTCACATTATCATAACTTTGTCAACCTTCACAAAAGTATTCTGATTCCTCAATTCCACCAACCTTCACAACAGTACTTGATTCATTTGATATGTTCAAATTCCCAATTATCTTTTTTCGATATCTTAGCAAGCTTGCAAAAAACTTTTCCCCGTATTTAAATAATAGTATAGTCTGAACTAATAAATTTCAACAACAGTTAGAACTAAAACAAGTAAGAAGGAAATGGAGCAATAAATCATTTCAAGCTCACCCACCTCCTGCTCAATGGCTTCACCTATCGCACAAGAGGCATGTACTACCTTGGCATTCCCGTGCTCGCCACCAGTCATCAACAATCCCGTCAACTTGTGCATTGTAATAACTGACATCATATCAGCAGGTAATTGAAGAAAATACGGGGCATATGGTGCCCTGTTCTTCCCTTGCCGGCACAATTCCTGCTCCTCAACAATTTTATCGCGCAAAGGCTCAAACCAACCGAGGAACAGCATTTTCATATATGGTAAATTGGGTGCCAACTTTTGCGCACACATGTCCATTAAAAGCTCCTTGTACTCCTTCGCTGCCTGTTCCCATGCCTCTGTCTCAATCTTCACCTGTCGACTCTTAAGCTTCTGGTACTTCTTACAATTCATTCCCCTCTCTATTCTCAGCTGCCTCCGCCGCCTATTTTGGCTCTCTTTCCTCTCTTCTTTGCCCAATACTTCCAACAATTCTTTAATCTCATCAACAACAGAAACATCCTCCTCTGCATCCGTTGATGACAACGAAACCGCCTCAGCGACACTGACATAACTTTTGGGACACAACCCACTAACAATGACTTTATTTCTTACACCACCAAAACTGGGTCGCCCAATAAACTCATCCCGTGGCAAAAATTCACCAATTCGACGAAAACCCATTTCAGGAAAACCGACATTCGAACAAGAACTGAGCTCAACAGGGCTGAATTTGAATTTTTCCGGGAAAACCGAATCGTGGGAAAATCCCAGAAAACTACAGGTACGAGAGAAAGAATGGGATAGACGCGGAAACCTGGTTTGGCTTCTCGAAGATGCTAGCTTGGCAAGGTTTTTCCACATAATTGTGGATTTCTTTGATGGGTTTGGCTGAAAAACTGAGGGTTTATCAAATAGAATAATGCGATCTGTGTTTGTACCGATAGAAATGGGAGTTAAACCAATGGACATCAAAATGTTCGACAAAAGTTCCAAGAGAAAGTGAAAAAAGAAAAGAGAGAGATTGGGTCGATGGGATTTACAATGATTAGATTTGAACAAATGGGTTGATGAAGAAATATGGAAGAATTCATGAGACTTGAGAACCCAACACAGAGACAAAGAGGAAGTCAGTGTGAGAAATGTAGTAGCCGACTATAAACCCTCCCTAAACCTTGTGTGCAGTGTTCCTTCTAATCGCATGTATTTTTGTGTTGGTTTATTGGAGCCCTTCAGAGACCAGAATCAGACCATAAGACCACACACGTGGGTGATATTTTAAACCGCCGACTCCAGTCTAAGCAAGTTTGATGGTACTACCTTTCAAAAAAACAAAAAAGTTTGATGGTACTAAAATTTGGGGTTATCAGAGTGACCCCGATCCTCTGTTGCAACCTTAACTGGTGTAGTCAGTTTTTAACACATTAAATTTGTTTTTCTTTTAATATTTTACATCTATTTTTTAACACAATAACTTTTGAAAACATTACATCTATTTTGCAACAGACACCATAACATAATGGGAGAATTGAAACTCATTACAACACCAAAATTTATAGCAAAGGATTAGGTATTATAAAAGTCTGCGTACGCTATTTGTTATAGTGGTACTTGTTCAGGATCCTGATAAAAAGTGAAATAGGAATATATGGATGGGTATACAATATTACCTACTAATTTAAGTTTTGGGATAAATGAATAAGTATCCACCTGTTATAATTAATTTTAGAGACAGATCCAATCCTTGATCCAATGTCACACCAAATGCCCATCCCGAAGGCGTCCGGGTGATGGCAGGGTGGCCCAATCGCAACGAGGGCATTATAAGTTGGGATGAGAGATAATATTATAAGAGGTACTTGTCTCACATTAGATCCGGATGAAAAGTGAAATGGACGAGTATGTAATACTATCCAATAACATAAATTTTAAGTAAATGGGTAAGTACCCATCTGTTACACCGCGTAACTTAAACAATTTTCATAATTAAATATTGGTTACATTTGACACACTGACATTTAATTAATTTTTTTTTTTTTTTTAAATACGGTATGTAGAACAATACATAATTACTTAAGATATTCACCAAGAAAAAAAAATTATTAAACCATTTAAAATATCTAAATTGATTGTGAAAATTCTTAGTAAAATTTCAAAATTCAGCAAATATTTATTTATTTTATAATTATCTGTCAGTAATGGAATTTTATTCATTTACTTATTTTGTCTTAGCCAAAAAACTCCCCTAATTCTCCTGAAAACTTGGGGTGTAATGGAATTTTATTCATTTACTTATTTTGTCTTAGCAAAAAAAATTCCAGCAATTCTCTTGGAAACTTTGGGTCTGTTTGGTTTGTAATTCTGAAAACAATTTTCAGAAACTCAGAAAATAGAGAATAGTTTTCCGAGAATCATAAAAAAAAATTGTTCTTTGAAAATAAGCCTTTATTATAACTAAGTTTTCAAAAAATCAAATCGAGCAGAAATTTTTTTTTTGTATAATTTTTTGTTTTTAGTTTTTTTATAACAAAATACTATTTTCATAGTTACAAACCAAACAGATCCTTGAATTTCACACGGAAAGATGATACTACATGGTTGATTGTGAGCAATGAAATATTTTAATAGTCATTTATGTACAAAATCAACATTGAAAAAAAAAAAAAAAAAAAGGTGTTTTAAGTGGTAATACCTTGCAGTTGTGTGAGTTTTGTAAGGTATGGTTATTTTCACATACCATAGTGTAAAGTATTAAATGTCCAAATTATAACCACTCTTATAGTGCATAGTGCAAGATAGAAGTTGAGAGAAATGCTTTGTATCATTAAGACTACCTACATCTACTTGCCATATGAACAAACTACACTCTACTTTCAAATATATATATATATATATATATATATATATATATATATATATATATATCCTTTTATGTATCTTCCTTAGTAATTTATTGAAAGATATGCAAAAAAGAAATGAAATAACCATCAGGTCCATCTTGTTTTCTAACTCTAGGACTTGTCCCAAATCTGTGGAACTAGGATTGGATCCTCTTATAATTGCCAACTTCAAATTGCTACAAACCTATCAGAATTAGCAAAGCCAACATCTTCAACAATAACTTCGTATAAGTACTTCCTGATGTACCTAACTCTGGTCGTCGTGCAGTGAATCCATGAACTAATTAAAATTCATAATGCTGTTTAAATGGCAACCTTCAGAGCCATGGCATATTATAGGATGGACTCCTACATTCAGTACACATTCAGCGCTCGAGAAGATATAGATATACAAACATGCACCGTATATAAACATGCTGGCAACACACACCACCTCCAAAGTTGTTCAACAGCCACAACACAGTAAGCAGTTGAGCTGGGGACGGGGAGAGATGAATACAATATGAAAATCAGCTGAAATTAGGTTAGATAAACTAATCCCAGAATCATGCACCAAAAGGAGACATTAAATTTACAACCGAAAGGAGCAGCACGAGACAGTAACCAAACATAAAACTCAGGATTTAACTTCATCCAACCATGACAAACATTGCAAGAGACAGTAACCAAATGTATGACCTGACAAAGTTAAATGAAAAGGAAGTAACAACATAGCGACTAAGAAATAGATTTGGCACAAAGCACTATGTATGCATGCATTTACAAACCACCAAAGGGCCACTTTATAGAGAACAAACTCTCATCTTTTATTACTATCAAATTTCTGTTCCTTTTTTCTTTTCACATTTTCCACTATGCACTAGGGATGATAGCATCAGATAAAGTTTCCTGGGGCTTTTCTATTTTCCTATGACCAAGAAAATTTAAAGAAGAGTGAATATATAATTCAAAAGCAAAACCTGAGGATGTTAGGATTTGATGCATCCACAATCAGGGACAATTTTGCCCAGGGAGGTAATCTTACTTTAATCTGCCGTGCACATTAGTAGAGAAAATCAATAAGCATATTTGTTTTCTCCGTTGATCTGAATCATCTGATTTCTTGGTAACAGAATAACCCAGGCAGTAATTCACCACGAGACTATTAGCTCCATGAATGACACCTATGTACCTAAATGCCTAACAACCTAAATAGACAAGGGTGCAACATGTTTTCACATTTCAAAATTGCTACCTCTAGTGCAGTATTGTCGAAAGCAAGCATCTGAATCCAAGAGATGAGTCAACTGGAATTTTGAAAGTACAAAATCAAGTGTGTTAATTTTTACCAATAATGTTATTGCAGCATCATGCAAATTTATTATTAAAATGTGCTGGCAGAGAAGCACACATTGAGTTTGAGAAAGCCAATGAATTTCAACTTACTATTTGAAAACATTCCATTATGACCACTTTTAAAATACAAATCACACCTTGACAAGGGTTATATTTTGTCAACTTTGCCAGATTTACAGATTTGCCTGGCTAAAGGGTCGGCTTTGGAAGCGTTTGCTGGTAACCAAAGTGCCTCCTTCCTTTTAATTATGTCAATGCTGACTGAATTGAGTCCATAAGCCCGGAAACAAAACAAAGTTCATTCCCTTTCGTCAAGTAGGTGAATTAGGCATATGAAACACAGAAAATTCCCATTCTGTCTTTGTGTTAGCAGGACTTAAGATCAGAAACTGAACTTATTAATGCATGTCGAACACAGTAAGTATTTTATAACTCTGAGTCTGTGGCACACAATTGAAGGTGATCTTTAAAGATAAATCATTACCGGAAAAAATCTTAAAAAATGAAAAGATCAAATTTCCTGATGGTCCTAAGTTGACAAAAGATACTTGCTTCGAAGTTCAATATACTCTGAAAGGAAATCCTAACAAATTGGTCCATACACCATCATAGCAAATAGTAAGCAATCTCGATTAATTCAGGAATGTCCACATATGTGTATGCACATGCATAAATACTGCTTTTACTCCAGGCTATCAGAGCAACTAAAAATTAGAATTCAATTGATTTTCAGATGACCATAGATAGATGCAAACAATACTACCTTTGAGGGAGAAGGAGAACCCATTTTGTGACCATTAAGGGGTAACACAAGGAATCAAAAAAATTCTTCTTTTACGTTTCTTTTACAGCCTACAGTGACATAAATACATGACTCAATAAAGAACTAATAGCCCATTTGCAAAATTGTCGACTCAATAAAGAACTAATAGCCCATTTGCAAAATTGTCAAACTAAAAATGGAAACTTTTAAATTATTATAAATTTTCTTTATTCTTTGGGATAAGCCAAGTACAACTAGAACTGGAACTTACAAGAAACAGAAAACAGCTAATCTAATATGGGGAATACATGGGGTGGGGTGGGGTGGGGAGAGGTCAAATTTATTAGCATTGACCAACACATAAGATACATAATCTGGCCGGGGTAAATTAATTTCCTGTAGATTCTCTGAAACATATAGATAAAAAAGAGACATTTATGTATCGGTCAAGTAAATCAATTGACCAAATTAAAAGTAAAACCAAAACCATCTACAATCTGACCTTTGGACTGAACTTTTTCACCATCCTCAGGTCACTGCTCCTGTGGGCTTGAAACAATCAATATTGCCGAATCCAACTGACCTTATCATATATCCAAAGCTGCCACCATTCAGTTCCAACAGTCAAGAAAACCACTCCTTCTATTTGTACATAACATGCCACAATGGGCACAATGAAATAATAAAAGATAAGGAGAGAATGAAAACCACTCTTAATTCAGGCAAACCTCTCAATGCTGTTCCTTGCTTTTTCTGGCTGGTCTGTGTTGTTTTTTGCTTTCTCAGCAAGATCTACACTGTTTCTTGATATTTCCCTCTTGTTTGTGCCGGCTCTTGATTTCTCTATGCGGTCCATGCTTGCCTTTGGCTTCTCTCTCTGATCAGTACTTGACCTAGACTTCTCCGTCTGATCTGTGCTTGGCCTGGGATTCTTCAAATCTGAATTAGGTCCAGAACCATTTCTCGAGCGTGCTGACTTCTCAATGGCTGAAATGAACTTCTTGAGATGCCTTATGTACTCTGGGTAAAGCTCCAAGTCACAATGTTTGCCTCCTTTAACCCATAATGGCTCATACTTCTCTTTACAGAGCTCCCAGAGCTGTTTACCATGGGAACAATCCACAACATCATCTGCGGTTCCCTGCAAGCACCAAGAAGAAATATTGGACTAAAACGGCATAACAAATAAACATTCTTCAAAGCACATTTAAAAGTGTGTGCATGTTCATGCATGATTAAACTAGACATACATACTCGCAATGGACTTCAATGATAGCCTAAATGACATGCATGCAAAAAAATTCTAAATTAAAAGGACAATTATATAATTGAAAAAGTACGGCTATCAGCAGCTTAATGAAAAAAAAGAGGTAATGCACAATATGGTATGTTTTCTATTTAAAAAGACGCTTACAGCTGATACATACTGCAACTTACCTGTATTTTATGACACAAAAACAACTACAACAATATGACACGTATAATTTATACCAAATGTACACACTCTTGACTGTTTTGGAAGCTAATAAGAATATCAATTCCAGACTTAGCTTCTTAAACAAAAAAAATAAAAACTGTAATCCAACGGCTTAAGAAATTTCACAATTGAAATTTAGCATCCACAGACCCTACAAGGCATAAAACTTAGAACAGCTTCTTTTAAGTTCTCCACACCAAATCCACAAGGAGAATTTCTGAATTTTCTGCTGAAGGCAAATATTTTACAAATCTGAAACTACAATTTGAACCTTAGAAAATACACTAACTAATTACAAGTAATACTACAAATCAAACTGGGAAAGAGAATCTTCCATGGATATTAAAGAAAATGACATGCTATGTTGTGCCATGTTGCATAGACGTCAAAATATGTGTGGTGCAAGTGTGTAGCAGGACACAACATGGCTATGGGTGCTAAGAGGGTTACAGGTAAAACACATCAATTGGTAGATGCCCCACCCTATAGGAGCATCCAATAAGTGCTTAGTGGAAAACGTGTATAGTTAGACCATCACCTGGTGTTGGACCATTGGTCTCATCAGGGTGATGGGAGGGGTGGGCTGGATAGACCCACCTTTCGGAAAATTTTGGCACAAAGTGGCTTCTCTCATATCCAAACTTGCTGTTTTCATGCTTGGTAGTCCAAGCTTTTAACAATTGCACCCAACAATGGCCCTGAATTGGGTCAAATGTGACAGTATTTCTGTGAGCAGAATTAATCAATGCAATGCAACAATGTGATGTTTGGTAAATTCTCAAGTGCAACTTTTACAAAGAAGGTGATGTAGAAATCAGCATTTGACACTCAATGTAGGTGATCATTACCAGCTGCAAGTTTCATTTTCCAAATAGTTGATAATCTTTGCATATAATTTGTTTGCTTCTTTCAATTTTTTGTAATCTTTTGCTGCTAACTCATTACCTAAACTAATTATATCACATAACACGATATAGAAAATGCCAAAAGCAAATTTTTTTTTTTTAAGACACAGAAACAAGAAGCCAGACCCAATAATAAAATGCCAAAAAGATGAGATGTCTAGCACTGATCAAAACCTCATATTTAAATGTCATTGATTGGTTCTTTACATGAAGAAGACACAACCAGCAAGCTCTCCCCAACTTAATTTAGCAAAAGCTTCTTTAAGAAGGGTACTTCCCAGTATGGCTCTAAGTAAAGCTTAATCAAGGTAATGGGATTTAGAAGGAAGAGGATACAATGATAATATCATAGATTTTCCGAGTAGGAAAGATTTCCAAATAGGGTTATCTTATTAGCTGTTTCTGGTTGCATTGATGCAGCAAGTTGGTGAAATCTGAATCAGCCAGTTCGGAGCTATATAGAACACGAATTAGTCTAGAATAAGGGCGCAGTGAAGTAGCATGTCAGGTTCTACTTGAATTTTCAGAGAGCTATGTTGTGGGGTTCACCATGTTAAAGAGATGCATGTCCACCATGTGCTATCTTTGCTCACTGGATAATGACAAATTTCTTAACAGATTTCCAATGAAATGCATACCAATAATGCTAAAACAGGAAATTTCATATATCCTTGTTGCCCTCATTTGTGCATATGCTCTCTATGTCTTGTTTGCATGCTAGCATTGTATGGTTATTGGAATAAAAACAAAAAATGGTAGTTACTATTGGGGGTGTCATTTCCACATTTGTGACGACAGAGGTAGGTTTGACCATAAAACTCAGAAACTTATGATAACTAGCTAAGAACTGTATGCAGGTTCCAAGCATATTAGTATTTGGAAAACGGGAATCAACTAAGACAGTCTAGAGGTGTATAGTTGAATCTCATTACAATAAATTAAGGAAATAGCCATGCAGAAATCATCATATAGAAAGATTGTAGGATACCAGCCAATTAAAGTAATTAAATGAACACATCTAGATTAAAAAAAGGCTTGAACTCCAACCAATGCTGAGATCAGAGCAGATGAATTTAAACTGGCAGATATAAAGAACGATCTATATGTAGTTCTGCATGGATTTTGAAACTCATTTCATTAACCATTGAATTTTCATCAGAGTATTACAGTAGCATGCTGAATGCAGTGGTCACGTGGACACCTCTTAAAAATTTAAAGTAACCAGAAAATTGGAGCACTCACATGAATTACCAGAACAGGGCATTCGACTGATGATATTTTCTCGATATTCTGGACCACAAAAGGTAGCATCTCATTAATAAAATTAATTTTGAGACAAACCGGCAGTTAAAGATCAGCTTCACACCATGCATCAAAATAAAAATTAACCTTATATATATCAAACCAGTATGTTCGCTTCACTGGATACATGACTCGAAGTCCAGACAAAATTGGACATTGAAGAACAACAGCCCTCAAACTTGATAAACGGGATGCCAATTCTAAGGTGGGCCCACTCCCAACAGATTGCCCATATAATACAACATCCTCCTCCTTTACCCCATAAGTCTCTTCAAGGCATTTATATGCAGCTTCTATGTCTGCATAAGTGTTTTGCTCACTTGGCTATTAATTATCAACAACAGTATATAAATCAGTATTCAACCTTGTAATTTAGAACTAAAACTTCTTCCAAATTAATCTGACACTACGTGATTTACATCTCATACCTTGCCAGTGGACTGTCCATACCCTGAATAATCATATCTGCAAAGAACACAAAATTCAGAAGTTTCTAAAAAGCACTAAAACTTCAAATTCTTTTGCATTTGTTTATTTTATATGACTCTAACTGAGTGTTTGGTTCAAGCATCAAATCAGTTATGTTGCCAGCTGATTTTTTCAACATTCAAATGGAATTTTTTTTTTTTTTTTTTGAGCATATGGCATTACTGTGTTGACATAATCAATAGATGGTCGTTTACAGACAACCTATGAGAAAACAAAATTTGAAAACGGCACTGCCCATTCTGTCATCTTCATCTTTTTCAATTCTCAATCCACATAAAAACAACTATAACTAAATAAAAAATTTCAAAAATCTTAAATGTGAACTGATCAAACAACTGACAAATAAGTATAAAAATCAAATATTCCCGTAAATATGCAACATTATTCCAAACCCAATGATCAACATACAGAAGTCCAAATAAATGTCTACCAAGTTTCTATATATATATATATATAAACAAGTCTAACTGAAATCTTAAATATCAACTCTAAATGAATAAAAAATTCAAAAATCTTAAATGTGAACTGATGGGTATAAAAATCCAATCTTCCAGTAAGGATGCAAAATTATTTCAAACCCAATAATCAACATATACCAGAACTACAAATAAATGTCTACCAAGTCTATAATTCATAGTGTGTGTGTATATATAATATACGCAATATCAAGCATTTCAACTACAAGTCAACACTGTAAAAAAAAAAACTACAAGTCAACAAATTAAATACAAAAATTAATATCTAGACCGAGTCACACTCACCCCATAACATTAACTCGGAGATGAACACTGAGTTCACTGAACAAGTCGTACATCTGACCCAGATCAGCTGCGTTTCCGTGCGAGTACAGCAGCGTCAACGACGCCGACCGGTTCTTCATGTACACCGCCACGATCTCGTTCCCTCTCTTGGTCTCCAGTTTCAAAACGTCAACGTTTTCCCTCAACGGGAAATCGGAAATCCCCAATTTCCCGCACGATTCATCAGTCGCCACCGTGTACGACGGCGGATTCGGCGGAAAGAACGCCAACCTAGCCGCCACCGACGAAGTCACCCCTCCCATCTCTCAAATTCTGTATGTTCAGAAAATCTTACTCCATCTCTCTATCTATAGATATTGATATATATTACATATACATACATATAGTTATATATGTGTGTAAAGTGTGTGTTTGTAAAAGTTGTTAGGGTTTTTTCTTTTATGAAAAATATGTGCTTTAAACGGGAGGACAGAGAAAGGGTGAAGAAAAAGCAGAGCTTCAGAGGGATTTTCGGTGCTAAATACTCTAGGAAATTAGGAGTAAAAAATCTACCTCACATGAGACAAGCGACATGAGCTGTCTTTTTTTGTTTATTTTTTTTTTTTTCTTTTAAAAAATATAAATAAAAAGTAAAAATCTGCCTTTATTAGTTTTTTTTTTAATTTATAAAAAATGTTTTTTATTTTATTTAGATTAAATTAAGATGGTGGTTCTTCGGAAGCTCAAAATAATAATGATGCGTCGTACTGAAATGTTTGTGTTCTACTAGTTTTTATTAAAATATATCAAATTAAGGTGCAATATCATAGCAAGAAAATGACTATTTTTTATTAGTTTATTGAGAAATCTATTATAATATTATTTTAATTCTTGAGTATACAAACAGGATAATGTTAGTCAAACATACCAAAGAATGAAAATTATTAATTGAGACATTCTCTTGTGGGTCTCAAATTAATTATCTATGGAAAGTAAATATATACAACCATATCTATTTGGGACATTAATTAGTTGGGTTACAAAAGTATTGTTCACATGGCTGATTAAATTGGACTGTCTTGGCGGCTGGACTGAAGGGTCTTGTCTCAGTTCAATAAGTGAGTTTTTACGAATGTACAGATTAGGTATGTGTAATATTATAATCTCTCAAAATGGACTTGGAAGATGGTTCATGATCTCTTTATGTATTAATAATTTATCATATATATATATATATATATATATATATATATATATATATATATTTGTAAACAATTCATACAAAGCAAAACATACTGAAGATGCATGAATTCTCTCTCTCTAAATTGACAGAATTTCATTACACTTTCAAAATTTCGATTCCTTATTCCTCCTTTTTTCCTTTCTATTTATAAACAATTTGCATTATTCTAGAGCACTCTTAACTAACTTCCGCCGCTGGGCCTATCCTTAAGGTTAAATGGTTATGAGCCTGAATCCTCTTTGAAGGCCTTTTTTAGTCAATCCACTACACCCGGTTTGCTTTGTGGACGTCAAGTTTGGGCCCATGTCAATTATCAAGCCCAAACTTTGTTATGCGAGTTGGGTTTGGCCTGAGCCGTCTTTGGCATCCTCAACAGCCCCCATAATCACTCCTTCGTTAATTAGGGTGTGATTATTTAGAGACTCAATGATGACTTTACGGCTTATGATGATTTAACGGCTCAAGACGATTGTGTGGGGCACCGAGCGGTCGGCCTCAGAATTAATGTCCCTTTTGAAATTTGAATCCCTTCAGCTTCCTGACATCTCGGCAAATGGGACCACTTTCCCTTTAAATACCCTTCTTCCACGATCAAAGCTTTTCTTGTCGCATCTCTTACATCCTGCTGTCAATCAATTCAGTCCACTTTCGCAAGGCGAACTGCATCTTTTTCGGTCAGATCTCATCTTCTTCAGCGAATCTTGTGAAAGATTCTTCATCTTCAGTTTCCTTGCAATATCCTTTGAGGTTGTTGCCCCTCTCCTCCTAAAATCTCTGCATTCTTTGCCAAGGCTCATAATCTCTTTCACCATGCCCATCGATCTAGATGTTGAAACTTCATCTTCCCAGTAATATTCATGTTAGGGAGTGCCCCGCAAATGTAAATATCAGAACTGGTGAAGGCCTTATTCCCGGTGAAACCTTATTTTGCCTCCATCATTTAAACATTATTAGATTCCCTCTGCATCCTTTCTTTTGTTATGTATTCAATAGGTTGGAAATTTCTCCTCTCCAAGTTAACCCCAACTTTTTTAGGGTTTTATCCTTTCTGTTGCTTCTGAATCGTGACAGGGGTTTGGATCTTGATTTAATTGATCTTCTCCTTTGTTACAAAGTTAGCAAGATCAGGTTGGATGAGGTTTACTACCATTTTTATCCGTTCGAGAAGATGTCCATCTGTACGTATAAACTTAAATCCGAAAAAGGGTGGAAAAGAAGCATTGTTGGGGTTCGGAGAACTTGGTTTGCTCCAGCAGCCAATGAATATCTTATCCCGAACGCCTTTGGCGAATGTTCTGTCTCTTCTTATAAGAAGTTCAAGACTCATAAGGCTGACTGCCCTTGTGAAATTTGCATTTCCCGTTTTTGTTCTTTTCTTTGCAATTATCTTGGTATCACTTTGGATAATGAACTCAATTACAGCATTTGCAGGGATAGGATCACATACCTGAAGGAACACGTGCTGAGCAACGTCCCCTCTTGTTCGGAGCTTCTCATATTTGAAAACCTTAGTGACATTTCAGTCCTCGGTTCCACAATGAGTCAACTCCAAATCCCTTCCTTCAGTAGGAAGAAGGCTCCTCCTAGGGCTGTGACGACTCTTGTAGCCTCTTCTTCTCCAGCCTCAGTATCGTCCTCTACTACTACCTCCAACACTACTCCAAATGCAATGAATACTAACTCAATCATCAATGTTCCTTCTGTCAATCCGAGCATTGCTCCTCGGACCCAGGGCCCTTCTGCCCACGCTGCACCCGCTCAAGACAAAGAGCGAGGAAAAAGGCCCCAACCTGACAGTGAGGGCAATCTTAATGACCTTTCCCTGACGAGGAGGGTTCGGACTTCAGGGTCAAACGTGCTTATACCCCCCCAGATCAGACTGGTCGCTCCTTCTAGATCTGGCACGGCCGCTGCTTCTGACTCTGGTGAGGCTCCATGGACTTCTCGATTTGTCCGAACGGATGGATCGGTTGTTAAACCGAGCGACACCATGTTCAAAAATGGCCTAATCGCCATGGCTTATTACAAGAACATATGGTCCCCCAAAGATGTTGAGGTTACCAAAGCTCTTTCTCAAAAAGAAGTGTTCAGCCGTTTTCCTTTGGCTGCTATGGAGGTAATTTCCTACCTAGGTCTTAGTCACCTTAGAAGTATCTTTATTTTACAATTTCTCTGAACATACGTTCGGCTTAATTAGTATTTATGTATTGTTTTGCAAACTCTGTTTGGCATGATGGCCATGCAAAAGCATGTTGAGGCTGCCAACGTTAAGGCACGAAAGTTCGCCAAAGACGTTGAAGTTAGTCACAAAGAGAACCAGATTATTAGCACAAAAAATGCTGAACTCATGGTGCAACTGAACAAGGTCAAGAATGAGAGGGATAGTCTGAAGAAGGAAGTAGACTCCCTTCAGGATGAGAAGAACGCCCTTCAGCTTGAGAAGAATATCTGGCAGACCGAACGTGAGTCGCTTAAGACTGAAAGGGACAACCTTCAGTGCTTGCTTCATAACGAACAAGCGGAGCGCATGGCCTTTGAGAAGAGGGCTCTAGATGAGCGCAATGCCTTGCTTGGCGTTATTGGCAAGGTTAATAGCGGGGTGACTGTGATACCCCTCGAATCCAAGACACGGGTTGATCAGGCCCAGGCCCAAACCCGAGGGAAATATCAAACAATTAATATGAAACCGAACACAGAATGCAAGATGAAATAAGAAATAAAATAATAAACTGAAGGAATGCTAATTGAAAATCCTTAAAAATAAATTTATTAAATTCCAAACTCCAAAACCTCCAATCAATTAACAACTCGGGAATCCATCTAGTGGACTCCTAATAAAAATCCCAACTGTAAATGAAATAACAGAAATAAGATCCAAAGCTAATAAGTAAGCAGTCCTACATAGTCGGTGGAATAGAAGTCTGTATCTGCTCTGCACGACCAAGCTCTAACCCTGGAACTGACGAACACCTGAAAAATATAAGAGTGGGTCAGGTCCACATGCAAGTCCTGATCTACTACAATCCAAATAGAAATCCGATACGTAGATACATCCTAGATAGACTCAACAATATCTATAGTAGCCCATATATGTATATATTACACACTATATGATGCTTGCTAGTCCAGTAGGTCTGTCTCAGCCTGAGTAAAGATATCATGCAAATCGCACATAACGTGGTCATAAGTACCTAGACCTACCAGGGAGCAACACCTATGTCCAGTTATCTATCCTAGGCGATATACGTGCCATAACCATGATTCTGAGACTCAAACTCATACCATGGCACCATATAATAGATATATATAAAATTCGTACTCCTAATACAAAATATCAACCATCTGTATTATGGTTTGATATATGTAACAAATCCATCCTAAATCCAAAGTAAGTCATTCAATTATTTTATTAATATGATACAAGTAGGTGATGGACTTAACCAATATGGTTAATCCATACCTTAATCTAAATTAGGTAGAACTTAGTGTTTGAACTAATCCATACCTAGTATGTCACCGTCCCATACCGGTACATATAATCTTCCAGTTAACGCAGTTGTCCATATAGTATTAAATAGTCATCAACTATACACCAGAATATGCACAAGATAAATTTAATGCATATACATAAATAACAAGCATTCAATAAAGAGCATAAAATCCAATTCCAATAATGTAAACTGCTATATTAAATTCAAGCATTCACATCCTCCAACATAGTCCATAAATTGATACAGATAATAGAAATTTAAGTATCAATCAAATCTAACTAAGCATGTTATATATAAAAACCTTACTCAGTTCCAGTAAACAAAACTAATAAAACAGAAAGCAAACTACCCATCTTTTATTAGGTTCATCTTGCTCTAACTTTTAATCCAGCTATAAATTTATATTTTTTCCACCATAAAACCAGCCTTGAACAGTCCCACACATCATTTAAAACAATTTAAATTAATTACAGAAATCCTGAAAATCAAACAGTTTTAACAAAATGCACGTTACAGTGCTTTTTAAGAAAAGCAGGCTCTAGAAAAATGAGAGCCTGCTCCATGTTTGCACCTAGAGCCGGCTCCATGACACCTAAAGCCGGCTCTCCCCTTTGGGAGCCTGCTCTAAGAGGTTTGGAGCCTTCTCTCCTTCCTCTTAGCAGTTCTCGTCCGTTTTAGCTTCATCTGCTTCAATTCCGGTGATTTACAGTACCTCTGTAATGTGTTCTAAATCTTATTTTAGGTTCAAACTTAATCCTAAATAAATTTTAGACCACTGATATCCAATTAGAA